CTGTGTAAGAATACCAATGTGATAATTGAAGTTTTCTTTAAGGGATCCAACATTGAAATTTAAACATTTACTTCAGACTTAACATTATGTCTGGCGTAAGGAGAGTTAGTTAAAAAATGTTTCTAACTATAGGATATCCATCTTCTTGATATATTATTGGTTTGATCACTGTTTTAGTGATTTATGTAATTAGTGATTTAGTGATTTACTTTACTCTTATTTATCAATATACTGTCAATCAGATAAACGTTATATCAGTGGCATACAAATCTTTACGTATACATTCATCAATGAAATCCTATTAACAGTGATATGGCATTACCGTGCAGTCGCTGTCGTATCACCGACGAAATGAACATTATTTGCTGTCAGTCGTCTCAGCTCCAGCGGAAATTTAAAATAGGGATGTTCCGAGAAATCAAGATAGCATTCGTGACGTTAAAGCGGTGATGGTTTCTTCCAATATTGACTCAGTCTGTGACGTCATAAGCTCATCCTCTCACTGTCCTGTCACACGTAAACCATACATGCGTACTGTCTTGGACTCGTGTAACAGTTTGGGTTTCTTTAAAGAAGATTACGATTTGTGTTTTAGAATGTAAAAACCCAATTTTCCTACACATGTATTTGTTTATGACCCTTAATGTGTCTTTCTATATTTCTTTCATCTGGTTTTCTGTGTCTTCATCTCTCTCTCTCTCTCTCTCTCTCTCTCTCTCTCTTTCTCTCTCTCTTTCTATATGAAATGAAATTATAATATAACGTCGCTTCCAGCTATGAAGCCGACATCTTTAAATATTTGAACAAATTTCATTTGACAATTTAATGGATTCATCTCATGTCATTTCGAAACGCAGAAAGAGGACGCATGTCGAACATCTCATTCTTATTTTTCTCAATAAAACAAATAAATCCATGTTTTATTGAATGGCTAAAGCCTATGAATGTTTCATTAAGGTTCGTAGTGCATGGATGTCCATGTACATGTTGTTTCGGTACCACTCTGTGCCGGGAAATATGTCATTTGAAGTAACAGGTGCTGTCTTGTCATCTTATCCCAACCAAATATTAATATCTATTTTTCAAAAGCCGAGACAGAATCTGAATGTAATTGAGTGCAGCCCACACGCATGCATTGTATGACGATTTAGGTTAGATTACAGGTTAAAGATGTGAAAATTATTAGGCTCGTGTGCCGTTCAGCATGTTGAATATTTGCTTCATTTTTTTTATAACTCCCATGGCTATAATATTTACTTTGAGAAAACGAAGTTTTGAGAAAGCAAACTTCTCCGATCATTGGTGGCAATGTTGAAATCCAACAACGACAAACGATATTTATTTTTTCATTCATCTTTGTACATGTACTTGGCAAAGTTTTTACTTATGTTGTGAATAAATCATGGACATTGGACAGTAATGAGTCTTTCTTAATCGGTCACGGATTCTGAAGATTTTAAAATCTCGAAAAAAATCGCCCCCTAATCACACTTCATGCTAATGGAAAGCGTACCGAAGAGGATGTTTGTGAAGCCGCTAAATGACATTACGTGTATAATCATTCCAGGCTGGTAACAAACACTCGAACCAGAGTTAGCTTTGGGTTTCCATCGAGAACCTGGAAATGACTATTTACTTGGTTAAAATGAATGTAAATCATCTTACTGTGTTGAAGTTCTAAACGTTTTATTTGATTATCGCCCATTACAGTCTTTATGTTTTCATTTAAGACGTGTTTACTTCCCTTTTCATATTTAATTATTCACTGTATTTACTCACTGCATATAAACCAAGGACTACACGAACCTCCCCACCCCCATTTGCTATATTAATTTTTGAAAATGTTTTACATGTCGACACGATTCCGAGATTGATGAGGAGGTCTTGTTACCATGGTGACGGGTAGTTTGCAGGCACAAACCTAGTCAGTCGCTGTGCGTAACAGTTTCTGTACTGGGAAACCATAGGCTGGCAGCTTACTACATAGGCTCTGTATTTTGCCTTGACACTGCCAGATAGTGACAGAGCTAGGCTCTGCTCAAGGTTTTAGGAGTTGTGGTAAAGTGTCAAATTAGAGCCTGCGCTTGCAGACTAGGTGGCGGATGGAAGGTAAAGATGATTTCTCCCTGCTTTCTTATGGGCCTTTTAGTCTTCACCCGCCTCCGCAGTTTCACTAAACTCGTCACACCTTCTGAATTCACCCACCTGTTGGTTGGTGTCATCTCTAGTAAGAAAGATACCGGGAGGATTCCCTTGTGAGGGCCTCGGACCCGCAGTGTGTGGAGACTATACTTGAAGATGTCAGCACTACGTGCTATCAATAACATACACAGGCAGTTTCATGAATCTTCATGTTTTTTTCTGCTCTCGATCCCTTGCCTCAAGGGCCCTATAAAGATGCTATCATAATTGTTTCTGACATGTCTGAAGTAATGCACTGCCTACGATTTCCATCACCCATTGTCTTTTCTCTTTCTGAGACATGAGTAGGGTTATAATATCTTTTATATCTATCGCCCAAGGAACTAAAAGAGAACGTCTTGTAACACATTATACTTATTTACACACGGCGATGGGAATGTGAACTGAATTTTCAATACAAATTGTAGAGTTCCAATCGCTAGTTGAGGTTATTAGATGTGAAAGTCGTTCGTGTGTGCTTTTGTTTCAGCGAAACAAGCGTTCCCGTCTCAAGATGCTCAAAGGCACTCCCTTGGCGGCTATACGTGCGCCAAGGTGACGGCTGTCTCTATTGGACTAGACAGCCGAACTCGATAAAAAGCATTTTGAGAGTCGAGAGACCTAAAATATTTCAGATATCGATGTGTGGGTGTGGATGTAAGAATGCGTGTGCTTGTGTGTGTATGTACTATCCAATTATCGCTGTATGATCTCTATACAAGAGAACACTGAATTATGATTTTCATAGACACTGGCTGCCTGTCAGGTTGATTCACGCAATATATACATTCCACTTTAAAAAGGCCCTACGATGATTATTTGCCATTCAGAAAAATAATGAGTTCGCAGAGTTTCAGCTGGGTTCTATCCAGTCCATTGATTCTGAACAGATCACTTCCAATCAGCAACATTTAGAAACGGTATAGATAAAGTAAACAAACAAACTCGTTAACTTATTGGGCTTTTCTGTTGGATTTCATGCACAATCAATGATTTCATTCGTTCATTCGTATAGGTCCGTCCTTGGTTGAAGTAACAGAGAAATCATACAACTTTAAAGACCATAAACGAACCGTAATTATCTTCTTGCAAAGTCGGAAGCCATTTCCCTTTTTTATCAAAAGGACTTATAAAGGCCACTAAATGGTCAACTTTTGGACAACATATCGGTCAGTGTTTAGGACCGAATGGACACAGACTGACCACACGTCGCCAGCCAGGCATCACTGGACAATGGATATTACAGTCCCGTATACTATCTTTTCTTGTCTGACCGTTGCTGCATGAACAGATATGATTGTGAAAGCTACAAAGGTGGCCAAACAATGTAAAGATCCGACTGATAGCAAGATGAATCAACTGTAACCCGCCACTTTGGTGTAAAGACCTGGTTTTCCAGTAAAGTTTACATGCATGGTTGATGGTGGTCTTGCATGACTTTTTGCCTTCTTTTTGTGCCCCTCAGTTTTCTACAATAGTCAGGTCTCAAATATTTCAAATTGTTCATTTTGACTTCTTCAAATGAAGTCGCGGAAAGATTGAATGGAAGAATACTCTTCTTCGTGCAAGATACATAGAGATTGAAGTAAATGGTGAAAAGAAATGAAAAAGCGTCAGTGTTTTTTTTTCTCTCCTTCATTTAGTAAAGCTACGGTCACAAAGGTTCGTACGAACGATTATTTCGTACGAATCTCCCTATTTTTCCATTGTCTTCCCGAATTTCCATTGTCTGAAAATCGTTCGTTACGGCGTTCGTAGCAGTTCGTAATGGCATTTGTGACCGAGGCTTTAACACAAACATAGGGTACATTGTTTGAATGAACTTGGAGTAAAACTGAATTGCTTTGAAAGAAATCTGAATCTAAAGGAACAACATTTCTCGGAATAGGAGAGTTATTGGCACAAAACCTTTAATACAATTTCATTATTCACAAGCCCACTTTTAGAAACTCATACCCAGGGGGAAAATATGAATAAAGTGGTATAAGTGATATAAGCTGGACCGGAAACACATCTCTCATACATCAAATATTAAGTTGTTATTGAGATAAGTGATGGAGTTGTTTGGTAAAATGGATTTATGTCGTGATTGATATTGACACAAAATGCCAATAGGTTTGACCTGAAATATGCATTTCAACTTCTCAACTGATTGGGAACATATGCAAGCGACTTGGGCTCTTAAGGAATCCAGGCGAGGGTGATAGGTGTACGGTAGAGGCGGGATTTTGTAACAATGGCAGAAAAGGGCAGGGAGGTGGTGAACGTGAGAGACAATATTTAGGTCTGTGTACTAATTTGGAGAGTTAAAAATAGTGAAAATACATAAAATATGCTCATAAGTTACCTAATAAGAAGCATATACATATCAAATGATATATTACTATAAAAAATAAACATGGTAATAAAGATATAAGTAAGTAAATGACATTATGTACCATGAATGTTGCCGAGATAAAATCTCGACAAACTAGGTCCCGCTATTTTTTTTTACTCTTTAAGGTAGTTACGAAAAAACTTAATCGGTCATGTCATTAATCAAATTTTTTGGTGGTTGGTATCGTGGAAAATGTTACATTTATTTTTATCTCATGAAACATTTCTAGTTCATGACATTAAAAAGCAACATTTTACCTGGGTGGTCTCATTATTCCTCAACTGTTTTTGCGTTGTCATCAAAACATGTTTTCATGTATTCCATAACGTTGTACTATAGAAGATAACGCATTCCACGTGATTATTGCATTACATTTGATCTATATTTGTTTTTATCTCTATCTCTAATTAGCCTATATCATTTTATTTTCTTCTTTTAACAGCAATCTGTGAATCTGGTTGTGTACATGGAACCTGCGTTGCACCAAACCAGTGCCGTTGCGAGCCGGGATATACAGGTGCAAATTGTAATGCAGGTAAGAAATCAACCAAGAACTATATCACCCATCTCTGGACAAATTGGCTTCCATTGCATTATTTTGTATACAGAATTCGAAACAGTAGCTCAGTTGCAGTTAATCGAAAGTTATATAAACTCCGCTCGTTTCGCTAATTGGAAGACGTCTATAAGATAAATTAGAAAATCGTTTTTGAGGTAGCCATAAATACAAAACGGGCCTCGGTTTTTTTTGGTGTTTTTTTTTGGTGGAAAATGTCAGGGTCTTGTTTTGGGGTCTTTTATACGATATAGCTGGTATCTTAAGCATATTTTGCTACTATAAATACGAAATTGTGGGGGACTTCACCATAATCTCATAACGTCATAACGTATGCATAACGTATACATTACACAACAATAATCATAGCTGTCTTCCATTATGGCTTTTTGCAAAGTAAACAATGAGTAATCCGTATGGCAGATCCAGGTATCATGACAGCGTGGGTAATTATCCTTTACCTAGACCAATTACACTCACACAACACATGATGGAACCGCCGAAGGTACATTGCATCACTGCATTTTAAGTGATGTGGCGCCACTGAATGTGCGCATATTGTGTATACTAGAAATGACAATTTTCAGTGTCGCACTGGACGTTTTGTGCAATATATTAAGTGGGAGTACATCACTCGATATCTATAAGAATAATTCCGCTCCGATCGAGATACATCCAGAGCACCATTAGGGAATTAGGCTCGATTTTGATAGGGTAATTAACGTAATGGCCTGCTTAAAAAACGGGGGTAGCGTACCTGACAGAGAGGCTTTTGTCGCCTTAAAAAAAAAGAGAATGGTCGTGTGTTTTTATGAAAACACTGAAAGCTATGGCCTGTGGTGTTTTTTCTACTATAATTGTACAGATTTTTGTGACTTGTTTTTAATACAGATCACACAATCGATCTTATTTACTGGGTGTAAGCCACAAATATGTTTAAATAATTGAAATTTCTCCCAGGAAGCATTACATTTATAATTTTACAGTTATACATTTTATTCTTGAATAAATTAACTGAATCTTGTCAAATGGAATCAGCAATAATTGACTGATTTTGTTTGCATGTATTATTAAATGAATTTGTTTCTTTCGCTACTTCATAATGTGTCATCATATTTATCCGAACAATTTCCCTGAGTGTGTTCAGTGTTTTAGGCCTACAGCCAAATAGGCGAACAGGAAATCCAACGATGTACTTTGAAATAAATTTTGTTTGATTTATAAATGAAATGTGAGTGGATTCCTACTTTAGGATCGTGGTAAAAATGAATGATATCTGCATATGGAACCAGTATAAGTTCAATCTATTCGGATTCAATTCAGATTAACATAAAATAATGATATCTGTATTAGGGCACTTTTTCAAGTTTTGACATTCTTGACCAGGCAGAATCTCTCCGACAAATATTATAAAGAATAATAGAAGTACTTGTCTTTCTCTCAGCCATTCATAAGAACCAAATAAGGGATAAATAGCTTCTGTCATACTACGCATAACAGAATACTCATTATGCCTTCTCAACCTGAAAGACCCTCCTACTTTATCAATCTTTATGGGAGACGGTGTGGAGACTGCGGGAAGCTAATTGGTCGAAAGAAGCGCACAGTTTGAAAAATCACCTGCACAAATAGAGAGGGAGAGAAGGCTATGGGTTGCTGATAGGGATTAATAAACATCATCCTATAAATATTCCTTTTCGAATCAAGGAGATGATTTTCTTTTAAAAGAACATGTCTATTATTTGCTTATGATTGTCATGGAAGGCGCAGTGTTTGTTTTTCCTACTGTGCGAGTAAATGAGGTATGAGCTTGAGCCGTTTAAAGACGAATAAAAAAATTAGTCAAGCTTGTTTGGCGAGCGTTAATCTCCTCACGATCTTAATGATACCGGCCTCGAACTTTGAAGGAATGTGCCATTTTCATAGTCAGTAGTAACTGACCGTGAACTTAAAAGCAAAATAAGATATCACTTCAAAGAAATAATTAATTTAAGTCACGATTCGGGATTTATTTCATTTACTTCTGCATTCCAGCTTGTTTCTCAGGCATAATCATTAAACAAAAGAAAAAATCAAAACTGTTATTTATCCCATGATATCTGTCTATTCCGTGTAGTTCTCTGTCGAAATGACCCATATTCGGTCAAAAGAATGCATTTGACATAAAGTGTTGCACCCCTCCGAGTAACTTTGATGGCACTTAATCTCATTGATACCTTGGTTTACCCCTAACCATGACCCAACAGTTGTCCTCTCAAACCAACACACAGCATGTTTGTTTAAATAGCATATGCTCAAGTGCAATGAGGGTGGGCTGTTTCGATAGAGAGAGAATCTATGCGGATGTGTGTGTCTTTAAAAATTATTACACCAATTGCTTGTGGAGCGTCTTCTCTTTTTTCTTCAAGTTAGCTGTTGATTGGTTATGAAATTCACAGCTTTAATAATAAGATATCACAAAAGGAATGCTGAAACTGGAGTTATTTCTCCGAACGCTACTGGTGTTCGTACTTGGGAAACATTGACCTTATTTCCTCGTCACCTGTCGGTTGATAGCTGACCATATCATCACCATATACCAATTTGTTCTTCATATCATAAGTATAAGTATAAAAGCCGTTATACGCTCCACACAGTATAAGCATTTCCTATTTCAGGGGAAATCACAATTATAACAAGGCAATGTTTTAAAATGTCAAAGAATATATAAAAATGGGTAGAACAAATTTGGCAAATATCGCTTTCAGTTTGTGTTCCACATTTGAAAACAGATACATACATGTATTTATTCTTTTATTCCCTGTATTGGTTGTCATGGTTTATTGTTAGCCTATGTCGATTGAATCAATAAATTATATGTAGAAAAGATTCATTTATTTACATGTAGATCTGTTAACCTGTAATTTTCTTTTATCCTTACAACAGATCTAAACGAGTGTGGTCTGGAGCCTCGGCCGTGCAATCACAGATGTATTAACACCATGGGTAGTTTTAGATGCCACTGTGAAGAAAGTTATCTTCTAGAAGAAGACGGAAAGACATGTACACGTAAGTACTCCAAACGTTCACCCACGCTTTGTTCTCCCGGGTCTAAACATCCTAAATATAATCACAATCCCGTTCTTCGAGATGTTCAATTCATGTTTTTGACACTTGACGCTAGACCTTCCATAGTAACGATGAATGTGTATACAACATGATTCGCAGGGTGCTTAACATGCCAAAGGCGTGACAAAGAAACGGATAATCAAGTGTTTCGACGAAGGTCTGCATCTAGCTAGCCTAAAACTGACCTAATTTCAGTGACACCTTACTAGTGTAATTTTGTGAACAAAATCCTCCCAGATGTATTATTATTATATACTATTCTCACGCTACGGTGTCAGCCCCTCTTCTACTGAAAATGGTAAATAGACTTCAAGTTTAAAATATTGATAATCAGCCCTCCAACCAAAAAGGACTGTGTATAGTCCTCGGCTCTTAAGATATCTGGCGCCTTAAAGCCAATTTCACACTTAATCTGGATTATGCTTGGATATACGCGTGTGTATAAGAGTGTGGCCCGTGTAGTATGTGCCTTAATGTATCTTTCATCATAAGATGAATGTCTTGGGATCATCTTGGTAGCTCTTCGTACGTGATGGAAGCGTAAACGTTAGATTGATAAATAAGATCTTCCTTGGAATGCCAGTGATTTCCCCTTAAACCAACCGGCGAGACATGGAGATGATCTCAAGATTAACTGTGCTTAAGTAGCTACATACTATGTTCCTCGAATAGGTACCACTGATAGCCTTGGGGTTAACACTTGTAGTGATCCTCAGTGTGAATCCAGCTTGGGGGGGGGGGGGAGAGAGAGAGAGAGAGAGAGAGAGAGAGAGAGAGAGGTGTATTCAAGACGTGCTTGAAAATTGTAGGCTGGCATCCAGGGGCTCACAGAAACATGTAAACAATCTACTATTTATGAATTACGCATCGTTTCACTGCATTTTAAAGACAATTTGGAGGATTAGTGGATGGGTATAGGCGTAATGAAAAGTGTACTTCCTAGAAGAAGTATGTTATATTGGCTTCTTTTTGTCTCTTTGATCTCTTTCATTCAAAGTAGCAAGGGAGGGATTATACCGTCGAAGGCGCTGGGCGTCGATAATGGTGATCCACAGATATTTGTATGACTTCTTAAAAGACTATTCAAAATATGTAAGTCTTATTAGTACCTCTGGCATTCCACTCCCCCTTGGGCAGAAATAAGGATCCGATGCAATCTCTCTCCCTAAACTCTTTTTAAGCCCTTTTCTTCGACTTCATTATCTCCCTTTGTATGTATACACAACTTACTTATACTCTATACTCTGTCACTTGACGCCCACATCCTTCTTCCTTCTTATGCAGCTGTCTGTTTTCTCTGTCTTTTGCTTATTCCGTTGTTCATTCTTCTATTCTTAATGTTATTGTTGTTTTTTGTTTTTGTTTTCAATTTAATGCCATATGATTTGTTTGTGTGTCTTGCTTATGTAAACTGTATATTTTCTTTTCATTGTGAATTCTTTTTCATATGACGGAAATAACGACGAAACTAAACACATTCCTTCCTAATGTCAGATATATACATGGCACATGTAACAGAGCTTGAATGTAACTTTAAAAAAAAAGCAATGTCAATCCTTCCCTCCAATCATCTAAAACATATCCCATCACTCCCCCTTATGATTACGTATTTAAGCATATTCTTCAGTGTTGTGCAGGCATGTCAAAAGAAAAGACGAGACACTTCACTTCAACGACATCAGTCAAACATTTCTTCCCCCTCCGATCATTACATCTTTAAAAAGAATCACAATGATCAATCTTTTCCAAATCATTGGCATACGTGCCAGTAAATGTCACAAAAAAGTTGTGACATGCTTTCAACCAATGGAATTGAAAAAGAAAATTCCAAGCCAAGAAAGAGAGAAGGCGCCTGGGTACTTGTTTAGAATCAAAACAGATTTCGGGCAATTGATGGTGATGCTCCTTTCCGCCTTTGTGTAAACTGTCAATTGTGAATATGCTTCTTGACTTTTGGAGAGAGAGAAAAAAAGATGCTTCAAGAAAGATACCTCATCACCATTTAAGGGTGAAAAGAAATGTAGAATGAATTTTGATTCGTTTCATGGTTTGGTTTCGTGTCACAAAGCAATTTTTTAAGTTCTAACTTAGTTTTATCTTTCAAATGCCGTTGGAATTTCACCTTTTCATTTGTTTGGCCTGCATGTTTGTTTTCTTATAAAAATGAAAATTTTGCACCTGACGATTTAGAGGAAAGAAGAACCTGACAGTGGTGTACATAATACGCATCGAAGACCAACCATGTGTCATATGACAGATGTGCCAAGTATCATTAAACCAAAAGGGAAGGGCATGTGTTTTAGAAAGCATTATCAGGAATATGATCCGAGATCTCTTTCAAGTTAAAACCCTTAACTGTGTGTTCTACCCACTTGTGTGCATCCTCCATCCCTTGATAGGTTCTGAATCACACGGTAGGGGTATTTTCTTAGGGAAGTGATTCAAAATCGGTAGTAGGAAGTGCCTCGTTTGAGTTCATGTGCTACTGTTAAAAAATAGGGCCTGCATTATTTGGGACGTGTTTTAAAAGAGTAGATCATAAAAGTATACAAGGAAAGGTGCAAATGAGGGACGAACCTCCCGGAAGCCCGATGACACTGTCTTTATTCCTCTTTCTTCTCTTCCTCCCTCTCTTCTTTCTCTTCCGTCTTTTCCGTCTTTTCCGTCTCTCCTTCTAATTTGTCTCCTTCCCGTATCCCCTTTTCTTTCTCTTTCTCTTATTGTTTCTCTTTCTCCTATCTCCCTCCCTCCCTCCCCCTCTCTCTCTCTCTCTTTCTCCTTTTCTTTCTCTCCCTCTCTATTTCTCTCTCTCTTTCTCCTTTTCTTTCTCCTTTTCTTTCTCTCCCTCTCTATTTCTCTCTCTTTCTCCCATCTCTCACCCTCTCTCTACTACATAAGCTCCTTTTCTGAAGTCGTAACCGTCTCTCGCTTCATTTCCCCTCTCTTTCTCTCCCTTTCCCTACTGATTAGCTGATTAATTCTTTTCACACAAGTCGCTATTTCTGATCTCTTTTCTATAGAAAGAAGCATACTTGTCTATTATTGGTATCATTAGGGGTCGAAAACACCACACTTATATATAAACATGACAAATTCCATATACGTGATGTCTTTTTGTGTAATGTATGCGCCTACTGCCTGGGTTGGTACTTGAACATAATTACGAGCAAGTCTTGTTTGAGTGTGGCAGCAAATGACTTTATTTCGTTTCAAACCAGAGAGTAAAATGAGTTCTCATAATAAAATGCTCATAATGTTTCCTCAATCTCTCCTCGGAATTTTAATCCTTTAAACTATTTTAATCTTACCTTTATAACCGTAAAAGTCAACAAATACAATATGTTTAAATATATTTGTTCAAGTGTCAGAAGGAATTTTCAGCATCAATTGGTCGTTATATACTCGATTGACCCCCAGGCTATGATATCTTAAAAAGACATCTTTCCAATGGTCGCTGTCCCAATTTCGGTCACAAACGACAGTTCTCTTTTCTTATTATCGAAATATAGTCGTTGAGGCGAAATTACAATCTGTTTTTCGTCTTTTGCGACAAATGAGTGTTTTTCCAATAATTTCCCAGACATTCCAACAAACTTCACTTCACCGAGGTGGCACTAAAACCTATAGTTGTCGACAATTCGCGCTTCTCTATACCCATCAGGCGTTGAGCCGTTGCGGATAGTTGAGGGAATAACTCTTTTGATGAAGAAGGATAATGAAATCAATTAAATGGAAGATTGATCGATTATTGACCTTTTAGAAGCCTATACCCCATACCATGACGAGAACTTTCGGTGATTTTTTGCTACAGACATGTGAACTATAGAATGCTTGGTTAATATTGCATATAAGAACGACAGTGTGTAAACAACTTTATAAGAAAAAGAAATCGTAAACAATTATTATTGTAATCCCGACAAAAATAATTCACCCTTAGATTTGATTTGGGATTTATGAGTGTGGAATAACAATTTACTACTCTCAGCATAAAGATATTTTCCATTTAAAATGAATTAGATAACATGACGCCATTAACATGATTATATTCTTCGTTTGAATATATCTAAGTAAGATGTAAAAAGACCACCTGTATTAGTTAAACCTAAGAATCCTCTGAAGGACCATATTGCATTTCACCTCACCTCCCTAATCCATATTATTCCGTATCAATCTTACAATCTTACATCTTCTTATCTTATCCTGACCACACCCTCGTTATGTTATGATTGCTTACTCTATGTTTAATCCACCCTCTCCTCATTTTCTTTAGGTGATAGCCGATGTTACCCGGGTAGATGTGCGTATGGATGCAGAAAGAACGGATTTCGCCTGGAGTGTATCTGTCCAGCAGGTTTAAGACTCGCCCAAGACAGTTATCACTGTTTAGGTAAGTTCATTTAGCCGCCCTCGTTGGGCGACATGGGGGCATGCCCCCCTCTATCAACTTGCGAAAAAAAGATAAAGAGAGAATGAGAGAGAGAGAGTGAGAGAGAGAGAGAGAGAGAGAGAGAGAGAGAGAGAGAGAGAGAGAGAGAGGGGGGGGGCGAGGTACGGGAGAGTGGAACGCAACCTGAAAGGAAGATGGTACGACCTCCTCCCGCACTTCCCCCTAACACCTTTGCCTTTTCATGCGCTTCGCCCACCTGATAACATCGCCCACCCCCCTCCATGATACCAGAGCCCCCCCCCCCCCTCAGTATCTTGACCAAGTCTTGACGCCCTCCACGCCTCTGTTCATTATATAGTATAGACATCTAGAAGTGGGTAATTGATGTGGCTGGCGACATTCCATTTCTCTTTTTGAACCCGGTAATAGTAACTCCAGGATTATCCATAATGTGTGAGTCGTTCCATGCGTGATATTCTCAGAAGCTAATCCGCTCTACATAGCAGGGAAGTTTGAAATCTTTGATCCCGCATTCCAAGAAGGAATTACGAGCTTTTGCAATTCAATAACAATCTATTCAACTAGTAATTATTCAGAAGATATTTGATATAACGTTTGACACAATAAGAATGGATTAAATGTTATTGAAACAACATGAATACATTAAATCTAAATATGGCCTTACACTCATGTAAATAGTAGTAAGAATGGATAAGGCTCAATGACATATTCTTTAGAATTTGCATGTAAATTGTTTCCAAATGGCAGAGTTATTTGAGTCAGGTCCAAAAATAGTCCAATGTATAGCTAGGTAACCTCGTTAGTTATTAGGAAATGATCAGTTATTTCACAATGAAATGCATCATGCAAGTATTAAGCATTTAAATATAAAATAAATATATTGGAGTTGAAAGGGATAACCATTACCAGTCGCTCATATTTATACTCGATACAAAGCTTTAATTGTGTGACGAACCTTGGGTAGATTTCTGATTATTTAGCAGGTATTAATTCCCACGTTTTATTAATAATAATATTCCATCAAACTAATGATAGTGTCGATCATTATTAAAGCAATATCTTGCTGTAGTAATAAACAATTCCTGTTTTAATTGGGTGTTTAAATCGGGCTTAGATTCAGGGGCCTAAGCGTAAAGGGCGGAAAGAGGAACCAGTTCTCATGTTTAATGCGTGTCACGGTGGAGAAGATGAAAATAGCACAGTCGAACAGTTGTTTAGGGGGCTAAGGCCACATGTGATGCCCGGTATTGTAAACGAGAGACTAATTATAAAGGTTTCAAGGTGCAATTTGCCTTGAGAATCTTCTGTTTTAATTAACAGATTAAAGAGCGGAAGCCAGCTGATATAAGAATTATGTGGAAATGGGAGAAGAAAGATAACAAATCAGACCTGATAATTTATCATCAATTTTGTTTTAGAAACCTGTTGACCAATGGTAGACCTAAAATGATGAACCTAAGTTTAATTTAATGAAACTTTTTAGGTAATGTATTTGAAGCATAGCATTTTGTTCAGGTTCAAAACCCGCTTATCTTTTGTAATATAATGGAGCTTGGAGAAGTACAGATCCAGCCTTGACTCAACCATGTTTTTAACACTTCTTTGAAATATTCATGATTCAATAGAATGGTATAGAAATAAAGCAGAAAGAATGAACAAAAACAAAGGAAGAATGGGAAAGAAAAGTTAAAAAGAGTAAAATGTGAAGTAATAATTTGAAACAGGATAAATTACAAGGCGATTAAGCGATCAAACAATAATATTGATTGCTAAAAGTCGAGACAACTAAGCACAAGGGACCTGGATTATTAATGTCGTCGCGTCTGGTTGAAATGCAATTACATGAGTTATTTTTACTTTCTGTCAAATTGTCTACGCATGGATTAGATAAATAGACTCCAAGAAGTCAGATTGTTCCTCCGTTTCTGACAGTAGTGTTTTTTTTTTTTTCAAAAGAAAGAGAAAATAGTATGTCGTGGTACTTCTTAAATGGTATCATAGACAAAAATGCGTCTCGCTTCGTAAGAACTGAGATACGTGAAGAAAACATTCATTTTGGAGAAAACCTCCGGGAAGATTTGTTACGTCATAATTATGACACAATATACATGGGTCACATCAGCCACATTCAAAAGAAAAGATCTATGTTCACATACATATTATAAATCACAATTATTCAATACTCTATGATGATTACCATTTCCTGTACTTTCACATGTTACGTTGTAGCATTTTGTTCTCATTTTGAAATTTGCCCTTCTGGTCTGTAAACAGTGAGGTCGAGAAGGCTCTACCATTTAAAAATATTCTAAAAACCCCCTTTAAAAAATCCTGGCTACGCCCTTGCCCCAGTGACCTGGTCATACCAACGAGACCAACACCAACCTGACAAAAATTAAGGTACCCCGGCCATGCAGAATGGTCAAGAATTGGTCTGTTAAAATCGGTTAAGCGTGTGTGACCGAGGCATTGCAGGGTGAACGAATTTTCATGAGACTTTTTCTGTTGTTTTATCCCCATTATGATACCCCATTTTAATAGCAAATTTTATGTCTGATTAGTCGATTGTACGAGATTGTGATTTTTAGCTTAGAATATCCCGTTCAGGATCACATCAGAAAAATTAGTATTCTGATGGAATTGTTCGTACAATTAATTTTAAATGTCACTTTTTTATATAGTGAGTAATGTTATCTAGGAATTAAAAAAAAAATCTATTCTTCTTTTATTAATGGTTAATGAATGTTTTATTTTTACTATATAAACTTAACAGATGTTGATGAGTGTGCAGAAGGAACAGTTCAATGCCCCTCGGACCAGAGATGTGTCAACACATATGGAAACTACATGTGCCTCTGTCAAGAGGGATCTCAGTTCAGATACATTGATGGAAAGCTTAGATGTACAGGTAATGTAACATAACGTAATGTACGTAACGTGTTTGTGTGCGTGTGCGTGCGCGCGTGTGTGGGTGTGTGGGTGGGTGGATGGGTGTTTACAGACTTGTATCAATCGTTATGATTATTTACGTCTGGGGACCGACCTTTAACGTCACCATCCGAAAGACATGACTCAGGTTCGAACGGGTTAAGCCTGAGCTAGTTTGTAGGCGAATTAGAGACAGGGGTATGACCAAGTGAACGTACCGCTAGACCAACTCACATCTACCTAAACGTAATGAAAACGGTTGTAAAATGGGCATTAAAGGTGAAAAATGTCGGTCTCTTCTCTTATGGGGATGCAGACAAATAAAAGACAGTGCCCTTTTAATTTCAAGATATTGTCATGATTAACTTTCTGCACAATTTCTCAATACGAAATTGTAATCGATTGAAAAAAAGTCGCGTTTTATTTTTTTCTTGTAAATTTTGTTTCATTGCTATTTTGATGCGAGAAGCCTTGATCTATATTGTTCTCTGGAATTCTTCTGAATGTACTGTGTTTATTGGGGAGAATGTAAGTATCTTACCGGTCAGCAAACCCTCTCATTATTATGGTAATTGGGATTATAATCGATGCATTTGGGGCACTAATAATCTCAAATCATCGTCGATTGACTAAATAATTACAAAGGTTTTTTCCTTGATTTACCAACAATAGCAATTGAATTGCTCTAATTGGGAGACAGGATTGAGATTAAAACTGTGAAGCTCTTATCATGTAGAAGTCTTGCCTTGGCAATTCTATCCAAAGTCTCGCAAATCGGGTTATTTTAGGTCAAAATCGGTCAACGTTCGGCAATAATGGCAAAGATTTGTTTCTTTCGACTGGGTTTCCTTTGTTCGTGTAAACCAATAATCCTAAACAGATTGTGATCCATGAAGAGGTAATTATGCAGTTTTTAGATGAAGAATGTTGTCTGCTTCATAAAACTATGGACACATGGCCTAATGTTTCGATTCTCTTTATTTTTCATTCGAAACATAGGTTTGTACGTGTGACGTAAGCATTGTCACATGCTTTATGTAGTATATTGTTATAGGCTAATATTTGAAGCAGTACAGAGCGTTTACTTATTGCATTCATCAATCTTTATAAAGAGTTGAACAAGTGGATAATAGAGAAAATGTGCAAATGGTGGATGGCCAAAATTGGGGGGGGGGGGGGGGGGGTGGGGGGCATGCGTAATGAGTAAAACATTTATCAAGACTGTTAACTGAAAATGAAATTATGTTTGAAAAAAGAGACTTCGAAATCGGTAGCCTAGTCAGAGTCAGATAAATATAGGAACGTCCGGAGCACCTTGCTTTGTATCTTATATTATTACAAATGTTTTTTTTCTACTGATCCAGAATCGGAAGATAGATGTGCCAATGCAGGATATATCTGTGATACGAATGCGAAGTGTCAAGCTGGTGATGGCGTGGTCAAGTGTGCGTGCAATAGAGGTTACGTAGGCAATGGAGAGGAATGCACCATCGTCGGTAAGTCAATCAAACTCTTTAAAAGTAAATCATTTTCCTTAATTAACCTGAAAATGTACAATGCATTCAACACTTTGCCTTTTATCACATCATTGGTTTTTGTTTGTTAAAGCATCTTGGTCTTTATGCTGCTTTTGTTAAACCTAAGGTGCATTAAGAGGTCAACAGAATGCGTATTCATGATTACACCTTGGAGGTAATGGAGGAAAGAACGTGACTGAGAGAGAGAGAGAGAGAGAGAGAGAGAGAGAGAGAGAGAGAGAGAGATAGCAAGATAGAAAGAGAGAGAGAGAGCAAGAGAGAAAGAGAGAGAGAGAGAGAGAGTAAGAAAGACCTACAGACAGATAAGAAGAGAAGGACGATAGGAGGGGGGGGGGGGGGGGGGGGGTATTACCTCATCATGATGAAGCCATTTTCGGAGCGGGCGTTGACGGTCAGTGTCAGAAATTGCCCCGCCTTTTCTTCTGAGAGAGACTTTGTTCTGAGACACACACTCTTCACCCTTCATGAATCATACACTTGAAACATGTTAAAGGTAGTAGAATATCTCATAACAATAATTATCCACTTACTGTTTGGATTTAAACCTGAGTACAGTTGCGTTACGTGTTTGTTTTATGCCCCATCATGATGTTGTTGTCATGGTAATATAGGCTAGTCAAGATGTTGGATGAGTGTTCACCCCTACTGGTTACATCGTTATCTTTCAATATTCAACGATGTGGATTCTAGTACAGAATACCTTATTCCGTTTTAAGCTTTTCAAGACATTTGTTCATTTTTACATTGATGCTGATGATTATATGCCATTTGAGATAATTATCGGTAGATTTGCAATGGTAAATATTGAAATGAAATGGAATTAACAAAGGACCTTTATATAAAAAATACGTTTGACCATTAATTTCAGGAGTCACGGCTACGTCATGACCTAACTGTTTCATATCTCTTCAAATATTCGTCCACCGATTGTCATTCACCTTTGTCCCCATTGGCATTATTTTTCTACCTGCCCACACACAATTTTCTTTTCTTTGAACCCGTGCCCAAACAATGCCATTCATCTTCTGAGTCAGTATAATTGCTGTTAATAGATAGCTTTGGTCATCACCACCGGGGCACAAATCAAAATGATTATTGGAAACACAATTAGATGAGCTCATTGGTTTGATTGAAACGCTAATTGCGGGATAATGTGTTGGAGGCTAATTATGGGGTGAAAAGTCATTGACAATCAATTGATATCCGATATCCTAATGAAATGATCTGACTGAAATGAAAGAATGATTCAGCATCAGATGATGTTTGCGATATGGGAACTCCTGCTTGCATGAACGGTAAGGAAACTGACTATTTGGAATTTCAGGTAAACATATTAAGACTTGACAGTTAAAAGATATGATGTCACGTTACTACGGAGCCTTGGGTAATGGAGAAAGCATAATAATATAGTCGTGACAATATTATGATACCATGCAAAACGGGATACGTTTCGTGATGTCGATTCCAAGTGCGGTTTGACCATGGACCTACTACGGTTTGACCACCTGATGAGTCAGGGGAAATGGAAGACTATTCATGCCTAGATGATGCAATCTAAAGATTCAACGGTGCACTCTGACATCCATCTATTGGGGAAAATGAGTATGGTAAAACTGGTCACTCAAAGATTGCTAGTTTGTTGAGGCACTTCATGACCATTTTGAAGCGGAATTTTTTAAGGGCTTCAATATTACACCACATCACAGACACTGATAACACGTAGGGCCATGCATCTCAGATTTAACATTGTTAAACAATGTCTTTAAGCGATTCAAATCGTCCTAGTGATGAGAAGAAGGGTGAAGAAAAAAAAGACGAACACGACGACGATGGAGAAAAAATAGAAAAACTTACGAGAGGAAGAGAAGGAGGAGAAGTTGAAAATGATGATGATGATGATAACGAAGATGATGGTTATGCTGATTATGCAGCACCTTTAATAGTGTCCTCGATGGCAGGTGTGTGTTGACTCATCAATCAGTATCTTTATGTACCAGGGTATACCGAGTATGACTACTTCTTTCAGCTCTGTGGGGAGTTGTTTTGTAACTTTCTTCTGATCCCCTTCTTTGAGAAAACATGCATCATCATTAGTATCATCAATAAACAATTATTAGTAGGATTTGTTATTTGTCCCGTACACCAGCATTACGCACCCCAACCCATTCCTTCAAAGAAACTATCAACCAAAGTTTTTTATCAGAATAATCGTTATTAGGAGATATTGTTCTGGTACTTATGATTTTAATTTTACGACAGCAGTTGATAAAATGCGATCAATTTTACATCACATGCTTTCATCGATAAACGATGATGAATAGGTTTTGTTCTTCGCCCAATAAACCGACAACTTACCCCTTCTAAAACCCACCCCGTAATATAAACACTGTCAACCACAGTTTATCAACCCAAGTTTATCAAATCTCTTTTTTCAGGGTGACTTCTTCTGGCACTTCTGTTTTCACTTTTTTCCCCAACATTTGATAATGTGCCCAAATTGTCATCATGTTCATGTTAAGAGATTCCTCATCTGTTTGCCAGTTGCTCTCAGACTGTCACATCCCGCGTCTTTTCTCTCCTCATCCATTGTTTTGATTGAAACTTGGAAACATTCAGCCAATGATTCATCGTCATGTTCCAAGAGCTCCAGCACCAATGGTGTTCCAAAATGAAGGCACTGTCTTCCTGTGTGTCATGATGCGTATGAAACGAGCTTTAGTAGTCTTGTAACCTCGCTTTCCTATGTGGCGATCAAAGCCAAACTCTTGTACGATCCCTCTGCGCTGCCCTGTAAGTTTTGTTTATGTAAGAATGTTGAGAACTTGAGATACAAAGCAGTTACACGGGAAATCAAAATCAGAACAGCAATTAACTGTCAGACAAGAAAATCAATCCTTTAGAGTGTTATTTCTTGGAATGATTTACATCGCTAAGAACTAAGTTGGATTGACATTGCGATGCATTTTCAAAGATGAACAAAATAATGATGCCATGTGATTTACAAGGATTAGTCTTTCGATTCGTGTTCGATACAAATGTAAATTGAGAGCTAGATAACCATGACGATTGAAGGTTTAGCTGTCTTTTAGATTCTTTCAAGGGTAACGCGGGGAAGGTGTTTAGGTAAGCTTTGGATACTGTCGAGTCACGGAAAGTAGTAAGAGAACTCGCAACAGTTGTCCAGAAACTGACTTAACACGTCCTGTCATCTGTACACTAATTTTCAAAGCAATTTACGGGACCGCCTTCTTTCTTGGCTAGTTGGAACTAACAAGTTAGTTCTATTTCTTCCTGATTAAATATCCGGTCTGGCAAGAGAAAAATGACTTCGCTGACGGTCGAAAGGTTGTTAACACGCAAGAAAATAGGGTTTTTTGTCACGAGTTTGGCAGTATACCGCTAAACCCCTTGGTGTGTGAAGATTGACCTTCAGAAACCCAGGGGAGCTTCGATGATAGCAACCTTGATTTAGATGTCTCTTTTCGATGGTTTTGATGAATTTTGAATTTGATTATTTTCTTGATATCAAGAGTGACACACAAGTGAGCATGTGACAACAAGCGAATACTGTTCACTAAACTGTGTTTTCACATATTTTCATTTTTTTTTGAAAAAGAGTGAAAAATAAATGCGTTTTAGATAACGATCAATTACCCCCCCCCCCTCCGATTTTATGGTTAATGTTTACGGTGTTCGAAGGCGAATTAAAAGCAATAAAGATTGAATAAGAAAGAAACAAAATGAAATACGGAAAAAGAGGTAGAAAAATAAATAGAAAGAAAGATATACCCTATTCCTACCGATTTGACTTGTAGTACAGACGGATCGCGAAACGATGACAGAATGTAGACAATCACATTCGTTGAATCAAATGTCAAACAAACATTGTTCAGTTCATGCCCTAACTCGGCCAGACACGTCTTTCCCTTGCTCAAGTGGGTCGGCCAGAATTGCCCCTATGGTCTCCCCTGTGCCCTGCATGTATACGTGTTTCATATTATTCTATACGTATAGTCATGATAGTGGATTTACACAACTAGGGATGACAAAGGAAAGAGCCGAAGAGTACTTTAGGCTGTGCAGGTGTATTCCATAATTGACTAGACAATTGTAGTGCCCAAGGTGATACATGGTTAACCTCATGATGATGATTCTCGGCGAATGTTTCTGAAAATGCTTTATAATGTCATGAATTATGGTGACTGGTAAAACGGTAGGACCAAGACGTGGAACCGAACGATTTCATGATAATTATGATGACTGTAGGGCAGGTGTTTCTGAATGTAATGGTGCGGTGTCTTTTCCAACATATGGCATGGAAATACAATGACATGTAACCACCAAACGAAGTCTTGAGCCAACAACAACTAATAAGAGAAAAAACGTTCGTGTTTTCTAAATTGTTTTAACTTTGTCATTGTGGCGCTCTGATACGGGTCCTAACTGACATAAATGGCCCACAAAAATGAAATGTTTTCCTTCATGTAACATTAATTTTGAATTATTTCAAACGCACTCTCAAATGCAGTAACTCCGATTTTGGAGTATTGCTATCTATAAAATATGTTCACTCTCTTGGAAAAGTGAAACAGAGGTTTGACAGAAACACCTGTTGGATGCGTTTTACTAAGATATATTTATGATTCGTACCATGCTATTTTGACCTTTGGGTTTGTTCTTAAGTTCAACTCTAAACAAACTATGCAAAAAATGAGATTGTGTTTACAGTGAAATATGTGTGCAGTGAAACAGATAACGAAGTATGCATGCGTTATGAGGATACTTGAAATATCTCTATTTAGAGCAAATCGTTAATTTCTGCGGTAAAAAACAATGGGGATAATGGCAAAGTCAAAAATTGTTCTTTAGAACTATCCAAAATCATCACGTTCAATATATTTGAATGTGCTTAAAATATGGAACATTGTCATAATTTCATGACCATTACTCTCGTTCCAAATGGAAATCATGGAGACATTTTATATATATTCCAGAAAGAAATTTGCCGATAGCGGTTAATTCCAGTCATGTGAACGACAACATTGCTAATTAAAAACGACCGAATAAACCCCAATAAGAACGACTTGGTATGTTATCAACAATTTAATAGTTCTTTACATATTTCGGACCATTACAAATGTTTTACTATTTCTGTTTGTAGAGTTGAAGTCGTGTTCACAGCGGCCATGTTTCCCACAAGCTACGTGCACAAACCAAGAGTTGGTATCCACTGATATGCCATACCCAGAGGGTGGTGTGCTCAAGCTGTATGAATGCGGCCCGTGTCCACGAGGATACATAGGCGATGGCGAGACTTGCGAAGGTAAGATTATTTCTAATGGAGATGTATCTTTAAAACGGTACACTACTTACTATTCCATTTTCCTTTTTTTGTTCTTCTCTACACCTGTTCTTAATTCTGCTGCCCTTCTACTACTATTCCTAGTGCTATATTTTTGCTTCTACTTCTAGGCCGAATTAATAATGTCAACATTTTAATTACCCTCTACTGATATTACTTTTATGCATTTTTGTTTAACATAAATTCTGTAATAACCTGTAATTAACCTGCGGGCTTAACACCTCAATGCATCACCATTGACATAAACATGTTTATGAATTTCTTAGCTATTCGACCATTAAGGCAAATCACCCAACCAATCAACCAAACTCTCAAAAATAGTGTCTTTCCGGACGTGCGAAAAATATGGAGACAAAAAACTTTTAATACTCGTTATTGGATCATTGGTGTCCAGTCAAACGAGTCATTAAGCAGTCTAAATAGATAAATTGTTGTCGCTGTGTGGTCTCTGTTACAATACAAATAACGTCAAGATATGATTGCTATCTTCTGTCATGCTTGATCACCAAATGTATCCCAGATATTCAACCAGATTTCTTTAAAGGTACTCTGAATTTGTTTTACATGGCCCTGAATGTGGTTGAATTTGTTCATTAGTTTGGCTTTATAGAATGTAAGAACAAAAAAGAAGAACAATTCCCAAAGTTTGTAGGAAAAAAAATTATTTTAAAATTAAAGTCAACGATAAGAATTTACACCGGGGTAGCTCTATAAGTATAGATAGATAACATCATAGCTGAAAGAACTGTAAAGGAATATAATGCCTTTGTAACCACCTTTGTAATTTTGCTTACAATCGTCTTTGGGTTAAATTTGTACTTCAAAACTAGGTCGATGTTTATAATAACCCTTTTTTGTGTAGACACAGTCACAGGAAGAGCGGAACATTTAAACACAATGTCGTATCAAAGTCTTACGACTTCTCTTCGGCCCTTATCAATAATGGTCAACACAGTATGAATGTGTAACTTCATTTAATTAATTTGATTTGATTTTTTAAAATTACAGATATTGACGAGTGCGCAGAAGGCACAGATTTATGCCATGATGAAGCAGTTTGCACAAACACTCCAGGATTTTACAGATGTGCTTGTAAAGAAGGATTCTCTGGGGATGGATTCTCATGTTCTGCTCTTGGTAAGAATTTGACAAAAGTATTTTGGAACACGATCACAAAGACTTTAAGGAAACCAACTGAAGACAATTTGAAGACCCCGTTGTGTTGCTTTTATAAATTACATTCGGATTAATATGTAATAAGTCTTTGTCATGTTTGCGCATTTCAGAATATGACGCATAAAGCTAATGAAATTGCTTTAGCTTGATTTTTTGAAAGTCTTTGTTATCATGATTTGGTTAAATATATAAAACAAAGCGAACCCGATGTTCACTTTTTGTGCTAATAAATAGAAGCGTGGATTAGTGTCAGAGTTACATTCCTGGCTACCCCGACCTGAATTCATTACAACTTAGGTTTCTAATCGTGACGTCGGTTATATCTGTTGTTTTATCTCACCCCTTTCCTTTCCTCTATTTATACGTTAATTGCTATCACTTACGTCATCCCTTCAACATCTCATTCTCATGTCTGTTGCCATTTCGTGCTGGTTCTCGTTTGAATCCCTTTGATACCTAGACATTAATGATGTTTGCGGCTGTTGGTAGCAGTCCCAGTCCTTCCCCTTTCTTTTATATTCATTGTTTATGCTTACACTGTCTTGATCACGTGGTTCAGCTGTTTCATGATGGTTCTCGTTTGCTTTAATACCTAGACATTGATGAAGTTCACTGCTGTTGGAAGCAGGCGTCCACCTTCCTTTTTCTTCTATGTTCATTGTTGTTATGCTTACCATTGATCACATATTTCAGCTGTCATACAAATTCAAATACCAACTGTTGTGTTGTAAGGCTCATATGCCTCAATCTTGATTGTTTTACCCATTGTTCCCTGTCTTCCCCTTTTCTTATGTTTCCTTTAATTAATGTTACTTCCATGTTTCCATGTATTTGTAGCTAATTCTGCCAAGTGTCTATTCTTGTAGTTGATGTCGTGTGAAGAGCCGAACAGGTTCATAGCATAACTGTTTCAACATTTCGTGGGTATACATTTCTTAAGGGGAGCCTTTTGAAAAAAGGATTTATACTGTTTCACTTGTTTTAGTTTTATTCTTATTTATGAGATAAAAATAATGTGACCTCGGATTGGGGTAGATGGAAAAACATAAATCCAAATATTAGTCTGCCCTTATTTAATTCACAATGCAATTAATATAATCATTTTTTTTTAAATTATGAAACAATATGTCTTTTAAATATAGTTTGTTATCTGTATTATTTCTGCATGTGATATGTAAAATTAATAACTCAAACTCAAACAGTTATCCATTCGAAATTCCTAAAATTTCTCAAATGTTCAACCGCTTGAATGTACTGCAAGAACGAATATGACTTCAAATTGATACTAAGGAACGATAACTTATAATTTGAATTCATGTTTATCAATTTTGATGTAATAATCTTTTAATGACAGGTAGTATCATAGGGGGAGAGGAGTGGAGGGGGAGGGAAGGGGAAATAAAAGCGGGGTTAAAGTTTCTAACCCTGCCTTTGGTAGCCAAGAGTCCATCAACAAATTATCTGCATATTACCACCCTGACTCGAACATCAACAAAGTTTCTATTACTGCATCCCGCATCCCCACCCCGCCACTGTGTACCCACCCATTTCTTGAAATAAAGTAGAGCATTGAAGAAGAGTATGTGATGAGTCAAGGGGATCTCTCTCACCACATTGATCTCGATTGGTTATGCATCATGAATAGATACACATGGATGAAGATGAAGTGACAAGTGACGGTTTTGGATTACCCCTCAAACCACTGTAGACCGGAGATGGAACGGGAGTAGTGGGATGACAGGACACCGGATGCGATCTGAAAAGGGCGAGTGGATGTAAGGGGTTAGGACGAAGAGGAGGAGTTGGGGGGGGGGGGGGGTTCCCCATAGAGCCAGGGGGCAATGCGGTTCAGTTTACTTGAAACAACATCAATCTCAGGTAGAAATGAACTTGTAACTCAGCAGTGATGACACAGTTTCCGCCCACACAAATATCACTCAGATCTATGAATATGGGTTCCTGATGCAAATAAATCATGTTATCGTAGACCTAAGAGAGAGAGAGAGAGAGAGGGGGGGGGGAGGGGGAGGGAGAGAGGGAGGGAGGGAGAGAGGGAGAGAGAGAGAGAGAGAGAGAGAGAGAGAGAGAGAGAGAGAGAGACCATTAAAAGAGGGTGCTAGGAGGAAGGGGGTACCCCATAGACGGAAATGTAGAGCCAGGAGGGGCAATTTTGGTTCAATCCTTGAAACAACATCAATCTTAGGTAGACATGAACATGTAACTCGATAGTGATGACACAGTATCCGCCCACACAATGTCACTCATAATTGTGAATGTGGGTTTCTAAATTCACGTGTGTCTAGGAACGACTCCAAGTAACGGTTTGTCAACAGGTACCAAGTCCGACAGAAAATACAATTCTGACAGCCGTAAACATGAACGAATTGGCAGCAAGAGGAGACGGAAGTAATCTTAAAAATCCGAGTTTCAACAAAAAAATTGTTCCAAACTTTTTTGGGGGGTGATGGAAACCATTGTGCAGTCTTACTTCTACACGTGTCTTTGAATGACAGAAGAAGTTATTTCTGATAAATTTTTTTATTGTTTCATTTCTCATTAAAAGCTCGTTAACTCAATTGCTATGGAAACTGAGAGATTAAGAAACTTGTCGTCTTTGACCCTCTTTAAAAGTTCACCGCAAACTAGGTTGAAAATCAAAGAGAGAGTATCAGCAAACGTAGACATTCAGATGTAATTGAAATCAAATTGTAATGACTACAGTTGTATTTATTCATCATTTAGATTCGACTGGTGGTAGTTTGGTCTTTGACAAATGTTTCCCCAGAGTCTTTTGGCGACATTATAGATGACTTAAAAGCTTGTGCATATCAATAACCCATCAATGTCGAAACACCATCACCATCACCTGTCCCCACTCGCTCATAGTGGCGACACAACTGTTCGTGAAGGCAGTTACACATTGCAGACTTTCTGGAAATACGGCCTACTTCGGAAATGACTTCAAGAACTTTAGAAAGAAGACTTACCGTAACTTTGTTCGTGACCCTGACGAATTTAGATTTACTCCTGTTCCTCGATTAGGCAGGGATAGACACAACATGCAGTTGCTTCAACAACTTTAAAAAAGAAGATCTAACTTTGTTCGTGACCCTGACGAATTTAGATTTACTCCTGTTCCTCGATTAGGCAGGGATAGACACAACATGCAGTTGTTTCGCATTCATGATGTAGACCTATCATATCACCATGCTCAATCAAAATATGATTCCCCAGTTCTAAACGATTACAGTTCAAAGTTCAAACAATTCAAGTAATATAACACTAACTGTGAACCTTACCTAAAACCCAGTTGCAATCCTAAACTTCAATTATCTCATAACTTTGACGGACTAAAACCTCGCGCAAAAGTTGCCTGGTCAGGTCATCACGTAAACCACGTTCTTCCGTTGCCTCTTTTCCATAATAAATAAGGATAAGGAGATATCTCTATTCCCAAATCCATCAGCCAATCTCGGGAAACCGCTGCTTCTATCACTCTGGGACAATCTCACTGTAAGATTCCCCTTTTCTGTAGCTTAGGGAAATCTAGATATTCCGGAACAATTAATCTCCGACTGTTTTTGAGAGGCACAAGGTTTTTGTTGTTTCTTTAGAGTAAAATATGTCACTTTTTGTGGAAACATCAAATGAATGAACGTTTACATCTGTATTAGATAGTATTAATGAATGAATGATAGCAAACTAGACCAGCCATCATTTAATATCAATCTCACTGTCATAGAGTTATTTTGTCGTTCTGCTTCCATGGATGGAGGTGGTCTGTCTGTCTTATTGTGTGTGTGTGTCTGTCTAACTGACTGGCTCTCTGTCTGTCTGTCTTACTGTATGTTCGTTTTTGGTCTGTTTCTCTCAACCCCTGCTCTGCCCCTGTTTGTGCGTATCTCTCAGTGTCACAATATCACCCCCTGTCTCTCTCCTCCTCTCTCTCCTCCTCTCTCTCCTCCTCTCTCTCCTCCTCTCTCTTGCCTATATATCTCTTAATGTCGTTCCTTGAGTACATATCCAACAATAATAGTGTGTTGTGACGGGAGTAAAGTAGGCGTAGACCCAGGGAGTAGTTTGATTACTGCAGGAAACGGCCGCAGGGAACAAGGAGAAGAAGAAGAAGTCCATATTGAAAGGAAATCAGCTGGATATGACATTTAGACTGGCCAGGAATCAATTGATAGATGAATTTGTCTTTATACGGGAAGGAGAGGGGCAGTCTTGAACGGAAAAGGGTACAAGGGCGCATGGAACGTGCTGAGGTGCATGAAGCCGAGATTTCCTATTTAATGCTTAAATGGGGAGACATATTTTATCAGATGTAAACAAAGAAAATACTGATATATTGAGCATATAATATCGCATTGTATTTTGCAATCTCTATAATATGCTCTATTATCGGACTGTGAACTTTAGTGCTTTAAATGATTTGAATTGCTCCCATCGATTATCTGAAGTGAAAATGACATCGTTCCAATACATTTCTTTGTGAAAGAAATTGTTTACAAGTTAATAGTAAATAGAGGTGATGATGATAAAGGAAATATAGCTCCTTCGATCCCCAATGCACTGCTTTATCGTATCAGGTACTTAAGAATCCTATTACTAATTCCCATTTCTCTTTTATCCTTCCCAAAATGTCTACACTTAAGGGTCCAGTTTCTGCAAATGAAAGAATTTGATCAGTTTTGTCACATTCCTTTTCTGGCACTTCCGTCCGTTTAGTTCCACATTCAGAAAATCTTTCAACGAATCAAGACCATGGTTTTGAATATATTCCAATGCATAAGTAACTTGCTGTTTCCTTTCTGAATGTCTCAAGGATGTCCAACGTGACGGGCACAGGATACTAGATCTTGGCCATAGCTCAGATCATGTCGATCTCCCATGGAAACACCTCACAGGACCTTCACAAACAATAATAGTTTATCAAATTTAATCAATTCCTTATTTCCCGCCCTCACTCCTCGTCTGGTCAGCTGAATGTGTATTTGGAAGTTGAACTACGGGTTTTTTTCGTTGTTGTTGTTGTACATCATCCAACCTATTTCATTTCATTTGAATCTTAATTTCATTCATATTCAATTTTTTAAATTCAAATATTATTCATTTGTTATAAATCTCCTATAATCTTAATATGAATGTTTATCCTCGTTTTCATTCAAAATTCTGAGTCTTCCACCTATTCTAAATGCATCTTTGTCCTCCCACATTTTTATTAAACTGATTGCCTTGATGTTCTCGTCCTTTTCCCCTCTATCATAGGATGCCCCTTCCCCGGTATCGTTGGCAATGGTCAGATAACGCCAGACCCAACCGGACCCAGTGGTCAGTATAACGATGGCACCATTATCACCTTTGAGTGTCAGATTGGCTATAACTTACAGGGAGCCGCTCTTAGCACCTGCCTCAAAGGGATGTGGACCGCTGAACTCCCTGTATGCGCCGGTAAGTTGAACTACGACTCCTATACCAGGACATCCATCCCACTATATCATCTTCCTAGTACCATTGCAGGGTTGTATTAAGTGATACTACACCCCATGGCTAACCATACCACACCTTCATGCTCCTACAGTGTACCTTATCATGCTTATCATCTCTCCTCTCGTACTGTCGTACCAACAACCTATTTCCAGTGGCGTAACTAGACGATCTTTAATAACGGGAAGATAATTATGTTGGACTTCATTTACAGACCTAACCCAAGCCGTCTCGTATTAGTTTTATTTAAAGATTTTCAGATAAAAAATAAAAATTGTTTGCACATAAAAGTGAGACAAACCGCCGCCAGAAAGAAGAAAAATTGAACAAGATAATATCAGGGGATAGAAATAAGTCGAACATGATTTGATTAGTTTATCCTGTGATTTGCTACGAGGGTTGTGCTCGACATAAACCCTCCTTTTCAGTGGAAACCATAATAAGTAGGTATAAACGATAAGGTGAGCTGTCGTGCTCTCAATCGGTCCTATACCCTGACGCTAGCAATATATATTTCATTTTATACCAAGCCTTTACTTAAGAAGAAAGCAAATGAAATGGTTTCACTGAGTGATAAATGACATGTCTTCATATATACATCATAAGGTTAATGAGGAGTCAAGGATCAGAAGGGATAAATGATCACTAGTTCACATGCTAACGAGAAGGCCCCTCAAGGCATAGTAAGGTGTGAAGAACTATATTCACTTCACGATGAATCTATAATCCTGTCTTAAATAATATCATATTTATATATACCTTAAAATAAGTTCCAAATAATAGTTTATAATCATGAATAGAACATGTACATTTACGATTAAGCCTTCTTTATGCATGAATAAGTTTAATGATAAGCGATACATTTAGGTATATTGTTCATTAAAAAAAGAGATTGAGAATTACGTTGCCTCTGATAAAGGTAGGAAGTACAATCTTTACGATTTCTTCCCCATTCTGACTACCAGTAATGTTTAAGATAGGGAGAATAAATTTAGACTTTTTTCCGTACTGTGTGACAGTTGTATACTTTTTTGAAATGTAAACATTATGTCAAACTGAGGCAGCTAACACTTCTTTGTATAAACGAATCTGTCATTAATGTACAATCACAGTGTTTTGATGTTTTACCTTAGGGTGATCACTATTAGAGTTTAGTAGCTGTTATATTCAGTGGCGTATCTAGGTTATTTTGCCGTCTGGGGCAAAATTAACGAAAGAATATTGTCTAAAAATTATGCAAGGTAACAGAAAAGTTAAGTTTTATATGAAATGCTGAACATTCCCGTTTGTCACGTACTTTTACACTGCTGTATAGGCGCGATAGCAACGAGAATTACAAATGTTCTAACTCTTTAAAATGCTTTTTAAACGTTACAAATTATATTAGCGCGTACAACGAGATCCTGAAGTAACGCATGCATTACGAAGGAACAAATTAGCGACCAAGCTTTAGAAATTAAAATCTTAAACCCTTCAAAAAGCTGTTTTTTAATACAATTTGCTTTTCGTATTGGGGGTTCATAATCCTTAAGGATGGTGACCTTGCTTCCCTTTTCTCCCCTTTACTTAACTATCTTTTTTTGCGCCCCCGCAAGTGCCGCCCCCTAGATATACGCCAGTGGTTATATTATTGGTTTGGCCGTATGTCTGTCATTAACATATAATATCACTAGGTGGGGTTCTCGTCATGTACAGTGCCTGTCAGTGGTGTTTAGCACTGCAAAGATGTCGTGACATTATACAGAGTGCTTAAAGAAAAACATATTTGAGTACATTTAGTTAAGCATTTACCAACTTGCACCAAGTATCTATGCTCATACGCAGTTTATACTTGTCCGTATTTCGTAATGTCTTTTTTTTTTTACAATACACTCAAAGTCAGGACACGTGAAAATGTTTAAGATAATCCTTTTGTGAATGTTAACTTTATTAAAGTCATTATTTAACTCATATTCTTAGATTATTTTATGATACACCCTATACTCAAACGATCCTCACAGACTGTCGTTTATTACTTCCACACATGATCCTTCTGATATTCATATTGAGTTGAACTATAAGTCATTTCCCTGTTAATGTATACAACGCGTGCCAAGCGACATCAGTTGTTCTAACTAGAGTATCTTTGTCCTTTCTCTCATTCCAATTGTAATAAGAGGTCGTCTGAGCAATATAAAATACAATAATTAGCAGATTTCAGAAATACATTTTCAAGACATGATTAATCATATGATTTCGGCAATTCAGAAAAAATATTTGCCAAGAATGTTTCCAACAATCCTCTTCCGCGGCTTAGCCTTATTAAACCTGCACGCGACCTCGCGTGTCGGGTACAAGAAAAAAGTCTCACTTGATGAAAATTTATAATCATTTGTTACCCACAACCTTTATTTTACTCGGAATAGTAACGAGTATATACGTTTTTTAGGATGATGATGTGAGGGGGAAGAAACCAAGGCAGGAAGTGGCTAGTTTGTTCCTAGGTTTTTGTGTCTTTTGATCGCCCTGTTTCTTTTAAAACATCTGTGTCACTTGCTGTGTTGTGTCTAGATCGTGGCTTGGGACAAATCAATGTCACTCTCAATTAGATTCAATGTCGATGATACACGGATTGACAGGAGTCTACCTTTTCAGTTATTATTTACCGCCCCCTTATTTAATACCCTCCCCCTTATTTAATACCCCCTTCTCCTTATTTAATACTCCCTTCTCATTTCTGCCCCTCTCCCCTTCTCACTCTCTCTCCCCGTCTCTCTCTCCTACTCTCTCATTTTCTTTCATCCTCGATCTTATTGTCTATCAGTCTGTCTTTCTCTCTCTCTCTCTCTGTTTCTCTCTGTCTCGCCATGTCTATGTATCTTTGTCTCCATTTGTCTTTCTGTCAGTCTGTCTGCATCTCCCTCTATCCCTCGTCTACCCCCTTTCCCTCTCAGTTTCTCCCATCTTGTTTTTTTATTTCCTTGCTTTATATCTCTCCTTATCATATCAGCTAATGTATCACATTTCACATGTATAACTTTCAATCTGTTGATATGTTAGAATACAATGATTCAAGAATTAAACTTTTCACCCTGCTCCAAACCTCTGACCTTTATCGAGGCCTATCTTATTGTGGTCATTGTTTAACAAAGCATGAACGTTATGATAAGTTCAAGTATAAAGCCGTCAGTTTAAATTTTGGGTCATGATGTTTGCAGAATGTAATTTCGATGAGTCTTGGCGATATCATGCCTACTAATTTTTCCAAAACTATTCCGTTTTATTGTTGCAGATATCGACGAATGTCAAACAGGAGATGCTGCCTGTCACGAGTTTGCCACCTGTGTGAATACGCCAGGCTCCTATAGATGCACCTGTAACCCCCGATACACCGGCAGCGGTATCATGTGCTTCTCTCTGTGTAAGTGACATTTAATTCTACCTCAGGAGTGACTGGCCTGTTTCCTTCACTGGCTAGGAGCCAAAGATGAAATAATCACTCAACTGTTATGTCACTGATTCATCCTCTAGGTGACCTAAAATAGACAAAAATGTGACAAACCGGTCATGGAATATTGCATGGGGCGACTGTTAGATAAAGATAGGTCTTGAAAGATGAGCCCAAGATCACTATGTTCTTATATGTATGACATTTTAATTGGACACGCCCCCTTTTGCCAAGTCATTGTTAATTTTAGTTCCTTTTTATCTATTATATCATTTGTATAGAAATAGAAGAATAAAAACAGGGTGTGGTCCTTGTTGATTTCGTTTCACATTCTTGATAATTTTATTTTTACATTGAACGGAGTGCCCACCATCCTTAATGTTTTACAGTGAGATTCAGTGCCTAATTTGTAAGAAAGACATACAGGTACATTAGTAGTTTGAGTTTAAAATATCATAGCAGATTCGTTGGTGTTTAAAACTCATGTAAGATCTCTTATATAATATCAGATAGGCGTTCATAACCATTTTTTCCTTCATATTCTTTGTTTGATTAAAAAGATTTTTAATTTATGACAATATCGATGAGCAATATAAGATATGAGGTTCATAACTGATTGTATTCTATATATATGTTGTTTGTCGATACAGATTGCACGGTGGACGCAGGAATGGTGAATGGTCGGATGGTACCAGCGCCCCTTGTAGGGGATGAGTACCGTGATGGTGATCTTGTATCCTTCCATTGTGACGATGGTTTCCTCATGGTTGGCTCACTTAACAGCGTGTGTGAAATGGGATTGTGGTCAGATCCCTTCCCTCAGTGCGTTGGTAAGTTATCAACAACAAAAAATCTTTTTTTTAAATTATTTAAAAAAAATTATTAAAAAAATCAACAACAAAAAAGGAAAAAAAAAAAAAAAAATCGTAATTCTGAGCATTTTGTGTCTACGCATGTACTGCTTAATCCGTTCATACTATTCTAAACTTGTTTCACATCTAATATAAGAAGTTTTCGTCAAGAATAAGCATTACAGTAACTTTTCGAACCAGCAGAAATTCTACGTTTGTATGAGCGCGCAGTGGTAGAATAGACAAACTGCATAAGACCTAGCTAGTATTTTAGTAAACAAATTTGTATATTTAGTTTTCTTCATCTGCTTAAAATTAAAAACTCAAAATTTACAAGATAATAAATTTCAAAGGTATGTTTCTTTTTTATGATCTCTGGGGTCGATGCTGCCAGTGAATCTTATCTTATCTTATTTGATCATGATTACAATATTGACACATCATTTGAATAATTTGTTATCACCATGTTACTTGACGATAAAAAGGAATACTTTATATTTCTATTCCAGATGTTGATGAATGCGCTACTGAATTCACAAATGATTGTGATGCAAATGCAGTCTGTATCAACAGCCCAGGCTCCTACAGGTGCGAGTGCAATCTTGGCTTCTTCGGCAACGGCCAAGTTTGTATTGAAATCGGTAAGAATCGAATGATTATAATTATGGAGTTGTACGGATAGAGATTTCGAAGAGAATTCATGAATTGCTGAAGTTTATAACATCATGAATTTGTTGTTACCGTTGGTTAGGTTTAGACGCACCGAGTATGATTTAAATAAAACACGGATGAGGAGGAGTAAAATGTATATGTAAGTGACACAAAAGTGGCATATATATTGAAAAAGAAACTAATGTCATTAGGTATTTCATAATTTGCTAATAGACGTTCATATTTGTTTACAGCCATGATTTGAAACGTATCACTTGACAAGTTTTATGTGTCATTGTTAAGAAAATAAACGCATTTGCCGTTGTGTCCAAATATATTTCAGAAAAACTGTTTTATAAATGGGAAAAAGATAATTTTAAAAAAAATCGACTAACTGTTGAATCAATTCGTGAAGTAAGATATTTGAATGTTAATCCTCTTACTGTAATAAACAATATTTATTTACTGTACTCTACTAAATGATCAGTGACTGTGACGGGGATATATTTGAAACACTAAACCAAAAGAAAACCAAATGCTTCGGGAAGTGGTTAAACTATTTCGGACGTCATTAATAACCTCATATAAAAATATATCAGTTTAAAAGTACATATTTCCTGAAGATATCTTTTTGTTTATTGATTGTTTGTAGACCCGACATCGTGTGCAGATCGACCATGTTCGGAAGGTGTTGTCTGTACTGACCTCGATCGCGTGGTTGTGCTCGCTACCATTGACCTCAAGAATCCTACCAGTGACGTCATCACATTGTATAAATGTGGTGACTGTCCCGAGGGATACCATGGTGATGGAGAGAATTGCGTCGGTAGGTTAAAAATTATGTCAATCACGTATTCATCGTATTTTGGAAAGTTTGAAACTGAAATGTTGATATGTTAGTCGATGGTGAATGCTTGTTAAAACAATCAAGTAATCATTGATGTTTTTTATTAAAAAGAATACTGATACTATGCGTTCAGGAACCTAAATGGGGTACTGATATCATTTTCCAATCCAGCCGTTACCTTGTATATAATGACACGAATCATAGGAATTATTTTCGGCATCAATAAATAGACTATTCATTTAAGAAAAACAGAATTTGAAAGACCGATTCCATTCCCTTTATTCAATTTCATTTATATAGAATTCACAAATTTGATTACAAGAGACATGTATGTTTTTTTATTTTTTTAAATTTGTTTTATCCCAACGCTCTTACAAATACATTACCCCTCCTTGATTGTTGTTCAGTAATTTGATTTGAATATAAAACTGACAACATCATTGAGGCTATAGAATTATATTGAAATGGCCGTCTTTGTAATTTTTTTACTTTTTATTCAGATATTGATGAATGTGCCGAGAATACGTTTGAATGTGCTACCAACGCTCAGTGCATAAATCTACCCGGAACATATATGTGCACCTGTAACGAGGGATACTATGGGGATGGCAAAGTCTGTATACGCATTGGTAAGTTAATGACAACAACAATGACAATGACATAAACAACAACAAATCAAGCGATCTCAATGAAGGTGATTTTGATATTGATCTTGTGAACCATTTTAACACCAAACTAGTTATGATCCTCTGGATAGGAATAATTGACACCCCTAGAAATTAATATTTTCAAAATATATTTTTGAAAGACGTTTTAGTGAATCTTCACCTTTGATGTTTTTTTTGTAGTCTGTTTGAAATTTTTGAACTTCTGTCAGTAAATTTCGAACTTGGATAATTTGTTTCCGTTATTGTTGAAAATTGAAATTCTGAGTACATTTGAAAAATAGGAAATTGTGCGTGCGTGTGCGTTGGATGCATGTGTGTAAGTGCATGTGTCCTCTGCCAGTTTGCAAGAGAGAGAGAGAGAGAGAGAGAGAGAAAGACAGAGAGAGTGTGTGAGGAATGGGGAAAAGAGAAACAGACCGGCAGAGGTGTAATTTATAACAAATAATTTCTCATATTATTTGTAGCAGTATTCTTCGTTTTTTCGACCCCAATAGACGATTCATATTCACATTTCACTCAGAGTGACTTCTATAAATTAATCATTCCATATTTTCCTTCTTGAAGATCCAACAAGATGTTATGATCTGCCATGCTTCCCTGGTACACAGTGTAATGACTTAGATCGTGGCCTCGTCTTAGATGCCGTCGACATTAAATCTCCTCCCTCAGTCATCAGACTCTACGAATGTGACGAGTGTCCTCAAGGATATGCTGGAAATGGAACGTTTTGCGAAGGTATGAACGTATGAACGTTAGAAACAACATATTTTTACATTTATGATTCGCTATTGATTTTCATGTGTTGTTGCAAGGAATATAGTCTCATAAAATAATTTTGTTCTCTCTTTTCTGTTTTCAGATGTTGATGAGTGTGCACTGGAAATCGACGAATGTCACGATAATGCCACTTGCAACAACTTACCCGGTACTTACGACTGCGTCTGTAACCGAGGTTTCTATGGAAACGGGCGAGTCTGTATTCCTATTGGTAAGTTTGAACAGAAAAGGATAAAGCTATGTTTTAATCCCCATTACCAAGATCTGGCACAAAAATGTTGATATGCCATTTTGAAAACAATGTTGTTTGGTATGGCGTTTATGGATTAAATTAATCAATGTATCGTTTGAAAGCTTAGTACACCCTGTACTTCTACTTTTAATGAAAAGCAAGGAATTATTTTCATACAGCGCATACTTTGTTCACAATAAGCTTTTGAATTGGGGTTTCATTTTTAAGGGATGCAATGTTTATAAGACAGAAACTCAATGCTAAAACTGTCAATGACGTCATTCACACCAGCCGAAAATTTCTCTTATTTCTTATTTATTTTTAGACCCAACAAGGTGCAGTGATAACCCTTGCTTCCCCGGTGTTGAGTGTTCTGATCTAAGCCGTGGAGAAGTCGTGTCAAACACAGATCTGGACAATCCACCTGAAATCATTCTGCAGTATACCTGCGAAAATTGTCCTCCAGGCTACCGCGGTGATGGTGTCGAATGTAATGGTAAGATAAGATTACATCCTCGGATAATTCCTCCATCTTATATCCCACTCCTGCCACCACTTATTTCATTTTATTCTCGAATATTTCGTCTCTTTTATACTAGACGAGGCCAAGGGATCACCAGTACCGCAGTGGTATTTTCATGACTGGGAAGTCGCGGATTCGGAATAAGTGCCATTTGGCATTAATTCACAGTTACCAACTTGCTATGAAAGAACTATAAGCTGCAGTTTTATCATTAACTGATCTCATTAAGACTGCTGTCACTTGAAACCTTTGCTCCTCTTAATACCCCCTTTCTTGTCTTATACTACATTACTGGTAGTTTTTCTCTGGTTAACTTCTCTTGGAGTTGTATTCCTTTCTTTGCTGAATAACCCCTCATTCTATACAAGACATTTTCGATCCAAAGTTCATGTTAATTATCGTTTCTTGTTTGACAGATATTGATGAGAATGCTGATACTATGCTTTCAGGAACCTAAATGGGATACTGATATCAATTTCCAATTCCGCCGTTGCCTTGTATATAATGACACGAATCATAGGAAATATTTTCGGCATCAATAAATAAACTATTTATTTAAGAAAAACAGAATTTGAAAGACCGATTCCATTCCCTTCATTAAATTTCATTTATATAGAATTCACACATTTGATTACAAGAGACACGTATGTTTGTTTTTGTTTTTTATCGCAACGCTTTTTAAAAATACATTACCCCTCCTTGATTGTTGTTGGGTTATTTGATTTGAATAGAAAACTGACAACATCATTGAGGCTATAGGAATTATCTTTCTTTTTATAGAGTTATATTGAAATGGTTGTCTTTTCAATTTTTTACTTTTTATTCAGATATTGATGAATGTGCCGAGAATACGTTTGAATGTGCTACCAACGCTCAGTGCATAAATCTACCCGGAACATATATGTGCACCTGTAACGAGGGATACTATGGGGATGGCAAAGTCTGTATACGCATTGGTAAGTTAATGACAACAACAATGACAATGACATAAACAACAACAAATCAAGCGATCTCAATGAAAGTGATTTTGATATTGATCTTGTGAACCATTTTAACACCAAACTAGTTATGATCCTCTGGATAGGAATAATTGACACCCCTAGAAATTAATATTTTCAAAATATATTTTTGAAAGACGTTTTAGTGAATCTTCACTTTTGATGTTTTTTTTTGTAGTCTGTTTGAAATTTTTGAACTTCTGTCAGTAAATTTCGAAATTGGATAATTTGTTTCCGTTATTGTTGAAAATTAAAATTCTGAGTACATTTGAAAAATAGGAAATTGTGCGTGCGTGTGCGTTGGGTGCATGTGTGTAAGTGCATGTGTCCTCTGCCAGTTTGCAAGAGAGAGAGAGAGAGAGAGAGAGAGAGAGAAAGACAGAGAGAGTGTGTGGAGGAATGGGGAAGAGAGAAACAGACCGGCAGAGGTGTAATTTATAACAAATAATTTCTCATATTATTTGTAGCAGTATTCTTCGTTTTTTCGACCCCAATAGACGATTCATATTCACATTTCACTCAGACTGACTTCTATAAATTAATCATTCCATATTTTCCTTCTTGAAGATCCAACAAGATGTTATGATCTGCCATGCTTCCCTGGTACACAGTGTAATGACTTAGATCGTGGCCTCGTCTTAGATGCCGTCGACATTAAATCTCCTCCCTCTGTCATCAGACTTTACGAATGTGACGAGTGTCCCCAAGGATATGCTGGAAATGGAACGTTTTGCGAAGGTATGAACGTATGAACGTTAGAAACAACATATTTTTACATTTATGATTCGCTATTGATTTTCATGTGTTGTTGCAAGGAATATAGTCTCATAAAATAATTTTGTTCTCTCTTTTCTGTTTTCAGATGTTGATGAATGTGCACTGGAAATTGACGAATGTCACGATAATGCCACTTGCAACAACTTACCCGGTACTTACGACTGCGTCTGTAACCGAGGTTTCTATGGAAACGGGCGAGTCTGTATTCCTATTGGTAAGTTTGAACAGAAAAGGATAAAGCTATGTTTTAATCCCCATTACCAAAATCTGGCACAAAAATGTTGATATGCCATTTTAAAAACAATGTTGTTTGGTATGGCGTTTATGGATTAAATTAATCAATGTATCGTTTGAAAGCTTAGTACACCCTGTACTTCTACTTTTAATGAAAAGCAAGGAATTATTTTCATACAGCGCATACTTTGTTCACAATAAGCTTTTGAATTGGGGTTTCATTTTTTAAGGGATGCAATGTTTATAAGACAGAAACTCAATGCTAAAACTGTCAATGACGTCATTCACACCAGCCAAAAATTTCTCTTATATGTTATTTATTTTTAGACCCAACAAGGTGCAGTGATAACCCTTGCTTCCCCGGTGTTGAGTGTTCTGATCTAAGCCGTGGAGAAGTCGTGTCAAACACAGATCTGGACAATCCACCTGAAATCATTCTGCAGTATACCTGCGGAATTTGTCCTACAGGCTACCGCGGTGATGGTGTCCGATGTAATGGTAAGATAAGATTACACCCTCGGATAATTCCTCCATCTTATATCCCACTCCTGCCACCACTTATTTCATTTTATTCTCGAATATTTCGTCTCTTTTATACTAGACGAGGCCAGGGGATCACCAGTACCGCAGTGGTATTTTCATGACTGTGAAGTCGCGGATTCGGAATAAGTGCCATTTGGCATTAATTCACAGTTACTAACTTGCTATGAAAGAACTATAAGCTGCAGTTTTATCATTAACTGATCTCATTAAGACTGCTGTCACTTGAAACCTTTGCTCCTCTTAATACCCTCTTTCTTGTCTTATACTACATTACCAGTAGTTTTTCTCTGGTTAACTTCTCTTGGAGTTGTATTCCTTTCTTTGCTGAATAACCCCTCATGCTATACAAGACATTTTCGATCCAAAGTTCATGTTAATTATCGTTTCTTGTTTTACAGATATTGATGAGTGCGCTGAAAACTTGTATGAATGCCATCCCTTCGCCATGTGTTTCAACCTTCCTGGAGCTTTCGAATGTGTGTGTATGGACGGTCATCATGGAAACGGCAAGACTTGTATTCCAATGGGTGAGAGCATCAATCATTTACTTTTGTTTTCTAATAAATTAACTTTTCTATCTAATCCAATTCACGCTTTTTTGTCAGACCATCATAGTATCATAGATTTGTCGAATTGTAGTAATTTGGTTATTGTTTAAGTGTTGACGTAGTGCATCTATTGCCATGGTATTTATTTTTTCCCAGTTATTTTGGTTATTATTTGAGTTTGGATGTAGTGCATCTGTTGCTATAGCATTGACTTTGTTCAGTCATTCCGTTGTTTAAGGTTTAAAAATTGTAAAATACTACTATGCCTTCGAACCTAAACAAAATTCTGATTTTGGATGTCAGTGAAAACTTTTAGTAAACATCCATGGTTTTACCAGCTGTAACACCTGACATACTGTTACTACAATCATGATGAGGAAAGGATGATTTGAGACCAATCAATAATCAGTTCTACAACAAGGCTTTGAGTGCAATCGGCAGATTTTCAGTGAGTATTTGTCTTTACTTCAATGATCCTGTTTTCCAGACCAAACATTCTGCACCGCTGATGGCCCATGCTTTGAAGGTGTCGATTGTACCAACTTGAGTCGTTCTGACGTCCTCGATAAGATTGACTTACTAACTGCTACTGCTGAGGACATCATCAAGTTCTATCTCTGCGGAGACTGCCCCGGTGGATACCTAGGTGATGGTGAAGTCTGTCTCGGTAAGTTCCACTCTCTCTCTCTTTCTCTCTCTGTCTCTCTGTCTCTCTCTCTCTCTCTCTCTCTCTATCTCAGGTGTGCAGGTCCACACACCAGAGCCAATCTGGTTAGTTCTTTCTCTATATCCCTCTCCGTCTTGAGCGTTCTTCTTTATTATATCATATGTTCTGTCACTTATCAAGTATGACACCAACCCAATACTCAGTCCAACTCTTTCCTGAGTACCATCCATCTCTCCTTCTACGATGCCTACGTTATTAATCCATGGTTATGCCATGAATTATAAGAAATCTGTTAATGGTTAGATCCCTTTAAGTGTCCTTAAAGAGATTATTCCTTCTAGAAGGTTACACTAAACATGCAGTCTTCATTTTTTTTTTCTTCCTTCTCCTTACTAATATGAAGATGAAGTTGAATTGTGAAATTTGATATCTGCTTGTAATAGAAATAAAAAGTTATATTTTTTTTCCATTAAATGAATAAAAGATAAATTGTATCAAAAAAATATATAACTCACTTTTTCAAACTCTGTATTCAGAAAAAGGGTTTGTCGACTTATTTTTCAGCATGAATTGTTTTGTTAAATCCTCTTTATCCTATAAATTTCTGATTTCTTCATTTTCTTAGATATTGACGAGTGTGATACTGGAGATTTTGATTGCCATAAAAATGCCTCATGTGAAAATGAGATAGGTGGCTACACATGTGTCTGCGTTGAAGGCCATTTCGGAAATGGGACACACTGCGCACAGCTCGGTAAGTTATTATTCCAAACCTCTTGTCTATTGCTATCCTTCATATATACTGTTCTTGAAGATGTAACCTTTAAGTCACTGACTAGTAATATCATAGCACTTGCATCGTATGGTTAATGTGTTATATACTTGAATGTCTGTGATCTTATAAATCACAGCTTGATCTTGACATGCTTTGAATTAATCGGAGCATTGGAGCACATTTCGGCCATGTCCCTCTTCCTCACACACTATTGCACGCCAGACCATACACAATCGTATATGTATCCAATGTCTTGGAAGAAGTATATATGCATGAACTATATATTTGATCTATATATCTCACCGATTTATATATCCAGATGATCGGTCATGTGCAGATGATCCCTGTTTCCCTGGTGTAGAATGCATGGATGTTGATCCTACTATGGTAGACTACACCCAGTCGTTTGTAAGGCTTTTTGAATGTGGAGATTGCCCTGAAGACTACTCTGGTGATGGAATCGACTGTATCGGTAAGTACACCAACCATTTGGATGAACCTAAGGAGACCCAACTCCTGCTCCTGCGACAATTGCTCCAGGATTTATTCGTCAAAGGTATAGGGTTAGGTAGACTCTTGCCATTGAGTTTAAAGCCCCTCTGCACTATTTTGGCATTGAGGGATTAGACCTCCCTGCAAGGTCACTAAATAACAACATATCATTATCATTATAATGTATGCTTCACTATCAATACGATGGTAAGACATTTAGACAATATGGATAAATAGATAAATCTAAGGTATGGTTGAATCTACATTTTTTTGTAAAGTCTCGAAGCCCGTTTTTTAATTTTTTTTTGTTTAACATTACATAGATTTGAGAAAAGATCTAGTAAACTTCATCCATTTAAGCAATGATTAGTGTCATTCTTCATTTCCATGTTTTGATCAATACCCATCCCCGATTCTTATTTCTTTGATGATGCAGAAGACTACGTACCACCGTTGATCAATCTGACAGTCATTGCGCTCGACCATTATGAACCTACTGAAGATGCCGTAGCACCAGATACAGACATCTCTGTATTCGTCGCCGATCCTTTGGCACGATTTGGTACCAGGATGGTAGCTTCGGCCCTCACTGGACCCGATGGAATCGCTGTTTTGTCGGTTCCTCACAACCAGTCCTTGATCATCACAGCAAATTGTGATGGTTACCTTATCAACTCGATCACTGCTAAGGCTAACCTGAAGCAAAGTACGTGGAAATGATGCTTTCATATTGAAATTGAATTTCAAGTACAGGTTTAAGCTAAGATTGAAGGAAGAGGTCACCGTGGCACTTCTAGATATAACGGATTTATAAATTTTTAGGAAGCTTAATTGGACAGTAACTACCTCTATTTAGATCAGATGCATGATCTGTATATACATGAAAACAATAACCAAACAAACAACAAAAATGACAGAAAAATAACGTACACATGTGCATATGAATGAAAAATAGCAGAATTTTACAAATTTATATCAAGCTTTCAATCTGTGACTTATTTCACCCCAAAGCGAGGTGGTCAACTAAATACGTTTCTACTTGTTGTACTCTGTATCAAACAGTTTTTGACATGGTCTATAATTTATTATCTTGTTCAAGGGATATTATCATACATGCACTTGGGAATTATACCTTATGAACCATGTAGTCTATTGTAATGATCGATATGCATATATCACGTGAGCAACGTTCTATATAACTTACCACTGATGGTAACTTTGCCAACAATATTAACTACCATGGCAACATTACTCAACAGCCAATCAAATCAAGGTTTCCATGGAAGCAAATTTTAATGACAAAGTTACCATCAATGCAAAGTTGTATGCAACGGGGCCCAGATAGACATAAATATCCACACCATTGGATATTTTCCTTTTTTTAATTTCATAGACACTTGTCTAGTGATTTAAGCAGTTTACGTATTCAGAAAGTATAACAAAACTTTAAGAAATAATTAATACTATGTGAATATTTCAATATCTATCACGCTAAAAAAGAACACTTTCATATTCCCTTTTTTACCGTTATCATTTGTTTCTACAGAAAATATTGTGACTATACCGATAGCCGTCTATGAGGAACTGAATTTATTCCGTTGGTTGACGGCCAGTTCTAATTCATTTGCATTTGGAGGAACGGAGGACACAGCTCAGTACCAAGTAGCCATTCCTGCTGGTAAATAAATTTGGCATATCATGACTTCCTTTTGATATGAATGCCTTTTAAAGATTTTTTTTTGTAATTCTAGGCTCTCTTGTTTGTATAAATAGATATTTAAAGGACTATAGCAAATAAAGTGATCAAAAATGGATTGGTCTATATGATTTTATTCTCCACTTAATATGTGGCAAAAACGTGTGATTAACAAGACTTGAAACCTGTCATGGGAGAAATTGGTCCTCCGGGGACAGAAGTGTTCCATTCGGTGTATTATCACTACCTCGTTTCAATTTACATATTTCGTCATGTCATTTTTAGTTATGGTACTATATCAGCATCTTCAATATTACCTTGAGATATTTAATGAGGCATTGATTAGCAAAGGGTTACCTAAATAAAAAACTTGCATGATGGTTGCTTCTGTATAAATGTTGTTTATCAATGACTTCTTATTTATCAGTCTTTCCGATCATTCAACATAGTGGCAGCGGTGGGATTTGAACCCCATGCCATCAAAATAGATAGTACACATAAGAAAGTTGACATCTTTTTCTAGGTTTCTAGTCAGGCCTATAATTATCATGTAACTTGTTGAACTCATAGGAAGGTCCCCTTTATTAGAAGGTCTCCTAAATGTGTAACTGAATGTGGAAATTGTATCTGTTATTGTTTTCAGGTGGTCTACGTGTTAGGAACAGACGTCTTGTACAAATCGAGTTCTACGGTGTCAATCTCACCGTCCCAGAGCAGTTCGAACATTCCCCAGAACCAATTGCTGTGCTCAATGCAGGTCAGTAATGTTTAAACTACACGCCATTTTTTCTCGCCAGAGAGAGTTTTTATATGATTTGAATTGTTACTACTTTTTACAATATGAGTGCAAACATCTTTTTCCGAATTTTAAATAGAGAGTGACCTGATGAGGCACATATATTAGGTAATGTTGATCAGAGGTCAATTAGGGATTATTATGAATATTAAGTTATGTACCTTCCGATTTACAATTTCACAGAAAAATTCTGACGTGTGCAAATCAAAGAGTACAAATTAGCGAAGGGAGGTAAATTAAGCGGAATTGAGAGACAGGTCATTAGATGAGAGTTAAAATGACCAGCTAAGTTGATACATTATAGAGTAGCGAATGAGCGAACTAAATATATAGGCAGAGGGATATTGGAGATGTAGTTACATTTATCTTGTTATTCTTAATCATTCAGGTCCTGGTCCACGTGGAGATATTGGAACAACCCTTAATGGAGAACCAGGTAAGATCTGAAGTAGAAAGTGTGGAGAAGAAAATGAAAAGTTAAATTGAACTGAACTGAAGTGTTGATATAACAATTACAATCCACTTTGCAGCGTGAGGGCTGATTAACATGAAATGTAAAATCTAATTGGTATAATAGCATTTTACATTGTTTTAATATATTACCATAATGAATAAGTGAATTATGGAGTTGATCGTAATGCAATTTAAATTATACAGTAATTGAGCAATAGTTTTCATAAGCATGGGTGAAGGGAGGGCGAAAAATGGGTGAGTTAAGAGGCAAGATTCAGAGTGATGGAGCAAGAAAGAGACACGACAAGATTTATGGGTAGGGATACATATTACTATGAGATAAAGACACATGACGATTTATAACAAAGTGAAAACAAAATTCATGTAATCCATAATTTAACACTGTTGTAAATGTGTACTAAATCGGGAGTCATATCGCTTGTAATGTACACATTATTTTAATCTATTCAAGGTGGACTTTGGATATCCTTAACTGTAACTTTTTGTCTTTGATCATTTCAGCAAGAGCAGAATTGGTGGCCCTTGACATAGTTGGCATGATGGAGCTTAATGTATTTGAGACTTCAACATCTTTTAGATCTGCGACGTTAACACAACCAGTTACTATCACCATCCCTATCACCAGTCTTTCTGATGAGTTTAGTGCCGGTGATTTTATGGATGCCTGGTACTTCAATGAAGAGCATGGTAAATATCTCTTTATATTCATACTTCCCAAAAATGTTGTAATTGTTCTTCTTTTGCGAGGAAAAAGTGTTTACATCTGTTTTCTTTGTTTTCTTTGGATGATGTTGGTTTTATATAATTTCTAGGTTGTATTCAGTTCACAGTCTATGTATTATTATTACTTGAATGCGATTATAATATATTGGACCTGCTCTTCTGTAATTGCTAATGAATTGTCTTTCAGAACCTTTGTCTTCTAAATCTTTCTCTACATATTCTGTGCTACTTTTGATTAACTTCACTTGGTTAATTAGCTCCATTCAATTCAAGGAATAATGAGAAGACTCATCACAATTATTCGTATGATACAAAGCAGGGATAGATGAAATATTAAAATTGGTATAGAGTCAAGTTTGGTCACGATATTAATAGCCTTTCATCAACTTTCTTCTTCATTTGTCTATGTCTGCAGGTGTATGGGTTAAAGACGGCACTGGAATTATTGAGCAAGATCGTGATACTGATATGTTGGTGTGGAATTACGAAGCAACGCATTTTACTTGGTGGGCAGCAGCCAAACCGCAGGAACAAACCAGCTGTGTTAAGGTCAAGACTTGTCTGGACGGAGCCTGTAACCTCCCAGTACCTGGCATCAGAGTACAGTGAGTCTTTAATCTTAATTCCCACAAAATCTGTTTAATTTTTCTTTTCTTACGACGAGCCCTTTTGTAGGTTTGTAATTTATAAATCATTTCTCCTTTTACGAGCACATAAGGTATTTACCTCTGTAAAGTTGGCATTAGTTGCGCCACATCCCCTAAGAAGAGTTATAAACTGTTATTGTTACTATTTGAAATCAAAATTTAAGATTGGCCGGTTCTTTAATAATCAAAATTAGGCAAAGTAATATTGAATTCGTGTCGTTTAGGTTAACACTTCAAGAAACAAACTCATGTTTTCTTGCTTTACTTATTACTTATTCCCATTTGCTTTCAGACTTACTGGTCAAGATTATGGTTTCTCGAGTGCAAGAACAACCGACCGATATGCAGAGGCCGTCTTTAACTTCAAACATGGAAGAACTGTTACCCTGGAAGCAGTGTGCGCCATGGAGAGAGTTACGGTGTCCAGTACCCTACTTACGGCTGCATTTGACAATGCCGATGCTGACATACCTTCGGTCATCCCTGATCCCCTCCTCCCACTGGACGTTTGTAGGGAAGTCACCCTCATGCTTCCACCCCTAGCAAGTAGGTGGTCAATTCCTAATCTTTAACATATTATACGCTTATATGTTTGTACACACACAAATGACAATCCTGTGGAAATGCAATACTTGATGGTAAATGTTTAGATGTACGTAAACCAAATCCCCGACTGAAAATAGAGGGCAACAGGTAGCATGAATTCAAACTCACTGTTTTTATATATTTTTGCTTTTTATTGAAGAAAAAAAACATTACAACCAAGATATTTTGTAGGTCTTAGAAATACTTCAATTTAAATTTAAAATGGCCAGTGATGTGAATAAATGATTATTTAGCTGAAATCATGAAGGTATTTTTTTTAAAACTAAGAGTTCTTTTAACTTTCATAGGAATACATGACTTTGACTGGTAATATTCAACTAGTTTTTTTATGATTACATGGTAAATCGTATACTACATAATTATAAGTATCATTATATCTGAAAAATGAACCAATAATGTCTGTACTTCTCATTTATGTTGTGTCTTACCGGTATTTGTTTTTGTTTTTCCTGTAGGTAACATAACATGTCCAGATCCCGGTGAGGTTGAATTCTCTACTCATTCTATCAACGGTAACAAGTACTCTGACGTCGTGCAATACACCTGTGATATGGGTCGATCACAGGACGGAGAAGGATACAGAACATGCCTTGAGTGCGGCTTATGGTCCAATAAACCTGCCACATGCACAAATTCAGCTGGCTCTGCCAAGAAGAGGCGGCGACGTCGTTCATCAAGACAAAAGAAACAACAGGTTGCTGATGTTTAAAACTTGGAGATAAAAGAATTATGGAATCAGAAGTTATAATGAGATCAACATATTTGAAAAACCATTGATGTAAAGTACATTTTGGTGCTAAATTGCTTCTTTGCTGACCCAAGTATTGCTCAAAACTTTTTTTCAAGTAAAAATAAACGATATAGGTTGTGGTTATGTGTATCTATGGGCATAGTCGAATATTATTCCTTCTTTACATTTATAATACATATGATGGTAAATATGGTGTAAAATTGTACACTTGAAAAAAAATGTGATAAATGATTAATTGGTATGGATTTTTAAAACCTTTTCCTTGCACTGGCTCTTCTGTAAACCTAAACAATTTCCCTCATCAAGATATAATATATATAACTAATGTCAGATTCAGTTTGAATGCGGGTTGAATAAAACATTTTTATCTTTATCTTTTGTATCTTAATTTAAATCTTACGTTGGCTCAAGGTATTTAAGGATTTAGTCACAAGTGATGTAATTGCCATTTAGGCAAAATTTCGGAATTCAAGCCCCACAATCTGGAATTATACAGACGATACTGTCACGGATCATACGTGATAGAAATCATGAGCATTGCATCACTGAGGAAAGGCCCGGGAACGGTCGTTCATTTCGGTTATAGTGGCCTTAATATTATATTATTAGTGTAGATATTTCTGTACTACATGGTAAATATCGCACTATTTGTAGGCCGTTCTACTAAAGTGAAGCATATATGTATAGATATGTTATATGATAATGATTTATCAAATACAATGTAAAATATTGGTGCTTGTTAATGTTCTTTCTTCGTTTAACTTTATATTGTATGGCTCTTATATTGATTAACCTATGTTTATGGAACGAAACAAAACATTATCAATACTATTTATCATGCTGCAATGATTCAAACTGCTGTTTCGGTTGAAAAGAAAGAAAGGCTCTTAAAAATGTCTTGGTATAATTTTGCGTAATAATGTATTAAGTTTTAGTGCCTAATCATAAATTCACAAGTTTTTCCGACAACTTAGAGAAAAAAGTCGCAGGGAGAGACAAAAATTGAATTGATATAAATAGTAAGCTTTAAATTCAGTAACCAATGGTTTGAAAGCAAATTGTTTTGTAATTGACTTTCATTTTTTGGGAGGTCCTTTTCGGGCCCGTCTCACTTTTGACTTGAACCCTAGTTGATCTTTCAACTGTCTAAGTTAAGAAATCTGAGGTCATCAACATCATGAAACACAATGAGGAATACACCCTTCCCTTCATTCTTTCTCTACTTCGTCATCTAAAGTGAATCCTCCTAATCCTATGGTACTATGGTACTCCAAAATGCTAGGAGTTACTTTCTGTACCCCTTCCCATCCACAAACAAACCCATTAATATCGTCTGCAAACAAAAATCCAGGAATTAGATCCCTCCCCTCATTCCTCGTGTGAAGTTTATTGGTTGAATCAGCATTATTGCAATGTATATAATAAGTTATAAATATTGTTTTCGTACACGTGCTGTATTTCTACAAAGGGATGTATGTAACTATTTTTGTGTCTATCATAATGAATTTCTTGCAATCTAATGCGTGCTAATGGTAATGAGTTGTTTACACTAATCTATGCATTGAGATGTTATTATCATATTTTAAATATTTTGCTTGGAAATATTTTATTTCTCATCATGTAACTATCTTTTAACCTTACATCAAAGTGTTTTAATACAGTAATTTCATGACATTAATACCCATCGCCTTATCCATACTTCTCCTTATCATAAATGCTATTATTTTTTAATATTATTTCTATTGAACGTGATATTATAGCATTTTATCTCCTGTAAATGTTGATTTTTAGTGATTGTATAATATACGCTTCTTGTGGTTCTATAGGAAGAATGGTTGTTTCGTTTCAAGGATATGAAACATTCACACAAAATCTGTTCCTCTCAAAAGGGCATGTCACAATCAGCATTACGTACATTGCTGGATTATCCTCTATTAAACGTTTACATATGGTATGATATTTTTTCTTTAAAAAAAAGATCACACAGCCGTGTGTAAGGCCATTTGAAGGCGCAGAATGCCCTGAAGGTTACTCGGGTGATGGTGTCACAGTTATATGTAAGTACACACGGTCACGTATGGATTGATAGATCAATGGATCGATTGGAAAATAGATTGATGTATATGAAGAGAAAACAGAATGATGAATAAGAAAAATAAAGGATTAACTAAAAAAATTAATATTATGCAATATAATAAATGAATGCTCTCTATAAACTTCCTAATTAAATATAACCATGGGCGTCAATCTGTACTTCCTTGATATCTAACATATCTTTATAGTAAAAGGATAGAAATCGTGGAAGAGATATATAAGTCTATTTTTAATTTGTAAATTACCATCATTGTGATTGCATTAATAAATTATAAATACCAAAATATATTGTTTGAAATTTTGTGGTTCAGTCTATTTTGGAAGTTGTGTGACAATTAAATGTATTCCCTCTAATCAGTGTTATTAAGAATTGCGATGTATTTGCGGTACAGTATTTTCTTTATGATCTTCAGTGAAGACATTAGGAATTGTACTCGTTGATTCAACCCCACCCTTTCTTTTCACATCCTCTCTCTCTCTCTCTCTCTCTCTCTCTTTCCCAATCTATTCTCTTCTTTGAAATTTCCATTAACTTCTTATGTGCTCAATGCAGGTCAGTAATTTAAAAATACACGACTTTTTTCGCCGGAGAGAGTTTTTATATTGATTTAATTTGATTATACTTAAACAAAAGAATATGATCGCAAACGTTTATTTCGGGAATTTGAATAGAGATTTAAATAGAGAATGTCTTCGTGAGGCACAGATATGGGTCAATTAGGAATTATTATGATTTCTAGTATTCAGATGTGTACCTGCAGATGATAGAATAAAAGAAACTATGTCGTGTGAATATCAACGAATAAGATGAACACAGGGAGGTAAATTAAGCGGAATTGAGAGACAGGGCATAAGATGAGAGTTAACATGAACAGTTAATTAGATAAATATGCAGCAGCGAATGCACGAACTAAATGTAGGCAGAAGGATATTAGAGATGTAGTCGCATTTATCTTGTTATTCATAATCATTCAGGTCCTGGTCCACGTGGAGATATTGGAACAAACATTAATGGAGAACCTCTTAAGATTTGAAGTAGGAATTGTTGAGTAGAAAACTGTAAGTCAAATTGAAGTGAACTAAATTTATGTTATATCTATTACATTCCAATTTGCAGCCTGCAGGAATGTGCCGACTAAATAGGAGAAGAGCATTTTACATCGTATGTAATAATGAATAAGTGAATTATGGTGTTGACCGTAATACAATCTATATTATACAATACTTGATCATATTGCCCTCGTCTTCGACTCAGGGCAATATGACCTTAGCTTGGTCAATATTTCCGATGTACCCCTCAGACCCGGTCAATATAAAATATTATACAGTGATTTAAAAAATAGTTTACTTTTGATTGAACGCCTCTTCTTTCTCTCTCACCCCCCCCCTCTCTCTCTCTCTCTCTCTCTCTCTCATCCCTTCCTACCCCTTCTAGTCTTTCGTCCTTTGTAGTCATGCGTTTAATTTATCTAGCACATTTACGCTCGATTCGGTTTAAAAATAAATAAATCCAATTGTTTTTCGTTATACATGTTTATCTATACAATTATGATTAACATACAGGTATCATTATAGTATATACTTCACTATCAAAACGATAGTAAGAGATTTTTACAATATGGATAAATAGATAAATCTAAGGTAAGGTTGAATCTACATTTTATGTACTAAAAGACCCTATCCGATAAAAATACGTTTTTATATAAATGGAAAACTGAATGAATGGAGAATACAAATATAAAAGAATAAAAGGTATTTAACCTTTCATTCTTGCACAAAAGCAAGTTAATACCTCATTTTGCGCACCCCTCCAAAGTATACGGGTCAACAGGGCAGGGTCAAATTTGCCGAAGTTACAGTGACGACATAACATGTGGACTCGATCGGTTCATCTATTACCCGGCGATGAGCCGTGCTTAATTAATGCAAAGTAATTGGGAATATGCGTACTCCACATGGGATGATGTCATCAAGTCGATAGCAAGTCTTTAGATCGACAACTTCCGATTTTCAAAGCTTTAGATTTTGAGTTTTCAGAGAGCAGCTGATACTCCTCTGATAGACACTAAAATTACATATAATTGATATAATTGTAATTTATGGCTTATAAGCTTTCCGTTGATATATAATTCATCCAATTCATTTTTCAGTTCGGATGTGGTCTTTAACGATTTTAAGAGTAACAGTGATCAGAATTATATAAGTGGTGATCTGTATAGTGTCGTAGCCAGTTTTATTTTGTTGTTGACAATACCTAGATTTTAGACAAAATATAATAAATTTCATCCTATTAAGCGATGATTATTTTCTTTCTTCATTATCCATGTTTTCATCAATACCCTACCCCAATTCTTATTTCCTTGATAAAAGCTGAAGACTACGTACCACCGTTGATCAATCTGACAGTCGTTGCCATCAGCCATGAGGATCCTTCTGTAGATGCCGTAGCACCAGATACAGAAATCTCGGCATTCGTCGCCGATCCTTTGTCACAATTTGGTACAACGAAAATAGCTTCGGCCTTCACTGGACCTGATGGCATCGCCGTTTTGTCGGTTCCTCACAACCAGTCCTTGATAATCACAGCAAATCTTGATGGTGCCCTTGTCAACTCGTTCACTACTAAGGCTAACCTGAAGCAAAGTACGTGGAAATGGTGCTTTCTTTTCTTTTAAAGAAGGGAAGAGGTCACCGAGGCACTTCTAGATATAAATGTTAGGAAGCTTCATTGGACAGATTTCTTAAACATTTTCACTGTAACTTCCTGTTTTTAGATTAGATGCAGGATTTGCAAAGAAATGAAAAAACAAACAAACAAATAAAAAACTTACAGCAAACTAATTTACACATGTGCATAGTTATGAATGAAAAATAGCAGAATTTTGCAAATTTATATCGAAAATCTGTGATTTATTTTACCACAAAGACAACGTGCAGTTATGTATCATACTGTTTGAGGGGTATTATTGCAAATGCAGCATGACAGTGAATTTAATGTACTATTGAACTATACCTTATAAAATGATGTAGTCTGTTGTACACTAATCGATATATAGGCCTATCAGAAAGGCATATACACGCTATTGGATATCTGTCCTTTCTTTAACTTCTTAGACACTCCTCTATATTCCTTCTTTTATTTTATATACAGTCGTATAGTGATTTAAGCAAGAAAGAATAAAAGACTTTCAGCAATAATTGATACTTTGTCAATATTTCAATATATGTCAGAAGACTATCGTGCTAAAAACGAACATTTTTATAATCCCTTCTTCAACTTTATCATTTGTTTCTACAGAAAATATTGTGACTATACCGATAGCCGTCTATGAGGAACTGAATTTATTCCGTTGGTTGACGGCCAGTTCTAATTCCTTTGCATTTGGAAGTAGAGAAGAGGGCACAGCTCAGTACAAAGTATACATTCCTCCTGGTAAATAAACTTGGCATATCATGACTTCATTTCGATATGAATCCTTTTAAAGCTTTTTATAATTCTTGTAAAGAAAGATTAAGTAATGAACTTTTTTGTATTAATAGATAATTAAAGGAATATAGCAAATATAGTGATGAAATATTGATTGGTCTATATCATTTTTGTTTCTCCACTTAATATGTGACAAAAACATGTAATTGATGGGGTTCAAAACCTGTCACGGTAGAAATTGGTCCTTCGGGGACAAAAGTATTCCATTCGGTATATATTACTACCTCGTTTCAATTAACATATTGCATCATGCCTTTTTAAGTTATGGTAGGGCCTACTATATCAGCATCCTCAATATTGCCTCGATATATGAAATGAAGCAGTGATTGGCACAGGGGTACCTGAATGAAGAACTTGCATGATGGTTGCTTCTGTATAAATGTTGTTTATCAATAACTTCTTATTTATCAGTCTATCCGATCATTAAATAGTGTGGCAGCGGTGGGATTTCAACCCATGCCACCAAAATGTCTAGTAGTCAAAAGAAAGTTGATATCTATTTATAGGTTTCTGGTCAGGCCTATATCAATGAAATGTGAATTTTGAACCCATAGGAAGGTCCTGTTTTTTGGAAGGTCACCTAAATATGTCTCTGAATGTAAAAAATGTATCGGTTATTATTTTCAGGTTGTCTACGTATAAGGAACAGACGCCTTGTACTAATCGAGTTCTACGGTGTCAATCTCACCATCCCAGAGCAGTTTGAACATGCACCGGAACCAATTGCTGTGCTCAATGGCGGTCAGTAATCTTTCAAATTAAACGACCATTTTGTCGGAGAGAGTTTTTATGTTGATTTGAAATTGTTACTACTTTTTTAGAATATAAGTGCAAACGTTTATTTCCGAACTTTGAAATAGAGAATGCCTTGATGCGGCGCAGATATTAGCTAATGTTGCTTAACGGTCGCAGAGGTCAATTAAGGATTATTATGGTTATTCAGTTGTGTACCTGCAGATCACAGCAGAATCACAAAAACTTTCTGACGTGTGCAAAGAAACTAGTATGATTAGCACAAGGAGGTAAATTAAGCGGAATTTATGAGAGTTCAAATGAACAGTTAATTGCATAACATGCAGCAGCGAATGCGCGAACTAAATATAGGCAGAAGGATATTAGAGATGTAGTCGCATTTATCTTGTTATTAATAATCATTCAGGTCCTGGTCCACGTGAAGATTTTGGAACAACCATTAATGGAGAACCTGGTAAGTTCTGAAGTAGAAATTGCGGTGTAGAAAAAGAAAAGTTAAATTGAAGTGAACTAAGTTGATATCATATCTATTATAAAATCCACTTGGTAGCCTGAGGGTTGAATAACATGAAATGTACCAACTAAATGGGAGAATAGCATTTATGATCGTATATAATGCCATCAATGAACTATACAGTACTTGAAAATTGTTTTCATAAGAGTGGGTGAAGAGAACGGTAGGAATTGAGTGAGCTAAGACGGAAGATTCAAAGAGAATGGAGCAAGAAAGAGACACGAAGAGATTTAGGGATAGGGATACATATTATTATAAGATGAAGACAGACATGACGATTTATAACAAAGTGAGAACAAAAATATGTAATTTATAAGTAAACACTAACGTAAAAGCATATCAAATCGTGAGTCATATTGATTGCAATGTACAAACTATTTTAATTTAGTCAAAGGAGACTTCGGATATTCCTTTCTAAAACTTGTTGTCTTTGATCAATTCAGCAAGAGCAGAATTGGTGGCCCTTGACATAGTTGGCATGATGAAGCTTCATGTATTTAGGACTACTAATCATTCTAGACATGTGAAGATA